CAAAGCCTTGCTAAAGGCATTAGATCTAGGAAGCCAGAATCTGCACCAAAAGTACTCTCCAACGTGCCCAAGCAAAAGCCGAACCCAAACACGTTTCCCCAAAAAGAGCAATGGCCACATGAAAAGCAAGTACCACATCTTTGAAGCGAAGCTGCAGTACAGCGACTGAACATGTCGTCGACGAACTTTCGATGGAAAGGGCCATCGCGTGCACAGATTGTCCGTCTGAGCAGTCAACTCAGCCACAAGCTCCGCATCCGAGAAAACATTGGATCTTTTCCCATAAGCCAGCTTGATTGCGACCATCTGGCGAAAGCCAGGGCCGAGGCCATTCTGCTGCGACTCGGGTGAGTCCTGCCAGTTGTAGTCGAAGAACCGATGCTCCAGAGTGTTCGCAAGATTCTTAGCGTGAAAGCCTCGCTCAGTGCCTTGCGGCTGCGAATTTCGGAGCAGCACGAACAGCTGCTCGTAGCATGCAGCATCAGCAACTCTCGAAATCAGCTGCTGGTCGAGCAGCACAGGCTCCGTCCTCTCCATGACTGCCGCCAAAGCAAATTCAAACAGCTTCTGCTGCGTTGCAGCAACCGTCTCATGCAAACAATCAGCATACAGCTTTCGCCAGACGTTGTCCTTCAGTAGGCAAGGTCTAAACCTCCTGTGAAAAGCTGACGGAAAATCTTCATTCTGCCAGCTCCAGCCACTCACATGCTGCCACAGCCACTGCCTGACAAAGGGCAGCGGGCTGTTGGCGATGTCCCCCGGTGTATATTGCTGCTGCTCAACTCTGCGACTCACCCAGTTCACCGTTCTGCGTACCAGATCCCGGTTTCCAGTCCAGTAAAGGAAGAGGCTGATGCAGAAAAAGTCTGCATCGCTCACAGCTGCAGGCAATTGATAGAGCATCTGATTGTGGCAATCATGATAGTGGAAGACATTGGTGAAATGGCATATATGCATCACCTCACTAAAAGCACGTACCACTGGGAGACCATTCTTCAGACGCTTCTGCGTCCAGCCAGGCTGTAAACATTGAAATGTGTGCTGCCATATCCTCAGCATCAGCGCCTGCTCAGTCTCAGAAACACGCAAGCGTTGAAGAGTGGCCTTTGCCACATCGAGCGTTTCCGTGCTTGTCAGGCGTGGCACACACCCCCGGCAAACCTCTCTGTACACGGCGAACGCCAGAAGCAGGTCGTCCAAGCAAATATCTCCCAGGATCGCCGTCAAATCCAACGAGCTCCAGCAGCCCTAGCGGCTGCTATAACAAACATTGATGTTGCATGGCGTGGGCATACAATCAAAAATCTACAGCATAGGGCGCAGCGCGCAACCGAGTAATGAGCCCCAGAGCAGAACTTGTTTCCATGCGCCGATGAAAGCAAAAAGTCGATCAGCCAAAATCCGCCAGCCTCTTGCTGAGCAAGCCTTCTCTCGCCAGAGTTGACCTGACATCCGTTCTTTCATATGCCCTGGATTTACTGCCCAACCACTTAAATTGAAATGGCTATGATTTTTTTTAGGGGTCTGTAACGCGCGACGCGCCACGAATCTTGTTACGGAGGTCTGTAACGGAGGTCCTTGTTACGCAGGTCTGTAACGGGACAAACATTTCCTGACAAGCAGTATCAGTAGCACAATGTAGCGCAGCACAACGAGGTATGTAATGGCTATGTAACGAGGTCTGTAACGAGGCAAAGCAAAGCGCAGGACGCAAAGCGCGCCTCCGCAGCTCGAGCTTGATTGCAGCTACTCAACGCAAGCCAAGCTGCGGCAAAAAGCGGGGTCGCTGGGCCGGGTTGGGGGTTGGGTCTGTAACGAGGCAAAGCGAAGCGCAGTACGCAAAGAACGCCTCTGCAGCGCCAGCTTGCTTGCAGCTACTCAACGCAAGCCATGCTGCGGCAAAAAGCGGGGTCGCTGGCCCGGGCTGGGGTTGGGTCTGCAACGAGGTATGTAACGGCTATGTAACGAGGTCTGTAACGAGGCAAAGCAAAGCGCAGCGCAGCTCTATTCAACGCAAGCCAAGCTGCGGCAAAAAGCGGGGTCGCTGGCCCGGGCTGGGGTTGGGTCTGTAACGAGGTATGTAACGGCTATGTAACGAGGTCTGTAACGAGGCAAAGCAAAGCACTTGATTGCAGCTATTCAACGCAAGCCAAGCTGCGGCAAAAAGAGGGCAGTCACGTCACTGGCCCGGTTTGTTCATCTGAGGTGTGTAACCAGGGCGTGTATAACGAGGGTGTGTAACGAGGGTGTGTAACGAGGGGTGTGTAACGAGGGGTGTGTAACGAGCCAGCTGGTTTTGTTACAGAGGTCTGTAACGAGGTCTGTAACGAATGTCCGCCGCGGCTCTGTTACAGACCCCTCAAAAAAATCACTGCCAAATGCCAAGGAAGTCTGCCTAAAACCTGGCCTCCTCATCACCAGGCGATCTCCCGCCAGACATTGCCTCAGCTTTGGCGGCCCGAATAAAAGAACACGGTCAGTTCCAAACAAGGCCCACGCCTGCTCACGAGAAGGCTTGTCCTCCAAGATCTCACACTCCGTGACCTCCCATCGAGCTGAATCCTACGTCCAGCAGCTCACCACGAACCTCGCGCTCCCGAAGCCGTTTCTTGCCGCGTGCCTGGCGTTCACCCGCAGGCAGCGCCCCAAATCAAGAACGATAAACGAGCTTTCAAGCCAAGCAGGCCTCTGCATCACCAGGCCTTTGCCCGCCAAACACGGATTCACCATGGGACCTCCCGCCAAACATCGTCTCAGCCTTGGTCGCCCGAGTGAAAGGACGTGGTGAATTCCAAACAAGCCCCATGCCTGCTCACGAACAGGCTTGTCTTCCGTAACCTCCCATCTAGTTGAATGCTACGTCCAGCAGTGAGCTGCCACGAGCCTCGCCCTCGCAGCCCAGAAGCCTTTTGCAGCCGCGTGCCTGGCCAGCACACGCAAACACCGCCCCAGATTGAAGCCAACGAGCAACCAGCCCAGCCTCCTCATCAACAAGCGTCTGCCCACCAAACCTGGATTCAGCTTTGGCCTCCTGCCAAGGCAAGCTGATGGCAGTTGAGCTGCGCAAGAAGCCGAGCCTGCTCCGCCATCTTTTCCGCTGTGGCCTGCCAACAAACTGAAGAATGCCAGGTAGGTCCAACAGCAAAGCGCCGGGCCTCCGACTCCAGCTCCGAGGCTCTAACCCCCCAGCTCACCTATGTCAAGCATCTCAAAATGGACAAAGCACAAAGGCAATTCCCGAAGCCACAGCCTCCGAGCTTCCAGGGCTGTTGAAGCCCCGAGAAGGCCTTCGAGGCGGCGTCCGGAAAGCCGCCTGGAGTTTGCGCAACCGTTCTCTGTGTGAGGTCATGCATGCCTCGGCCTCGTGCAAAGGGCTGCAGCTCATCATCACCCGTAGCTTGAGAGGCGGCCAAGGCCACACAGTGCGAAGATTGACCATGCTCATATGGCTACGCGCCAAAATATCAGGGACCCAGGGTGGCTTCCTTTTGGTTTCCCTTCAGAAGCAATCCAAAAGGGCCCCCAATTTTGCTGCAAATTCCCATGTGCAGTCTCAAAATGACCCCCCAAAATGGAAGCAGTTTCCCATTAAGACTGAATGCAAGGTGCCAACCAGTTTGAGACACAACAGTCTTCTGTAAAACGTGTGCACTGCTCTTCCTGTTTGACTTGCCTGTTTGTCTGGATGTAGGGACTAGTATTCCACGCACTAACCATGTTTTGTTGCTTAAGACAATCTCAATGAATCTAGTTCTTTGTCGGGAGATGACCGACTCCTTTGTCGTTGGAACCACAGGAATGTCGAGGTTCCACACTCCTTGTCGGGATTTTAACCCCCCATCCCTTCAGCTCCCTATCTTATTTCTCCGAAAAAAAGCATCTCTATCTGGTCTATCAAATCACGCCCAGGTGCTTCTAGTTGGACATGTATCACGTATGCAAGTGTGCTTTGTTCATTCCTACAAATATGCCGACCTGCGGCCCAACAGCTGTATGTAGTATGTATGTGTTTTGTTATATTTACGTATACAATGAACCCTGCAATGAATCTGGATGTTCTCTGTGGTGGGTTCAACGGCTTAGAACCAACGAGGACCTCATCCCAAATGCGACATGTTACACACACTGTTCAAGTCCTAGCCAAGCGTCGCAGTCTAGACATGCAATTGGGACTGTCTGTTACCCGTTTGCCATGATAGTGCCCCCAAAAAGCCGCAAGCATTCCTCGACCAGCACAGGGGAGAGACGCTGCCCCAAATTCGACAGAGTCCAAAAGTCAACATTTTATCAGCATGACACAACGCTCACGACCAGTGCGACCAGGCAAGCCCACGCGGACAACAAACAAGGTCACGACAAACCCGCGCGTTGTAAGGTATGGCAGGAATGGCCCGGGCCATATTATGCGGCTTGTTCCAGTGTATTGCCAGTGTGTTTTGTTCAACGGCAAAATGGGTCGTCTATTTGGGCGCAGGCCAGCAATGAGGCGGCCGTCCGTTGTGGGTTCTTTCCCACTGGAATGTCTTGACACAGGCGACCCCTTTTGCTTGGTGTTTGTAGGCCAAAGAGCATTTAAGGGGAAGCATCATTATGATTAGTCCGGCGTTCGATGTGCAACGTCGATTAACTTGCCTCGGAGTCGTGCAGGGACTTTGTCTTGCTTGACAAGTGTCATCCGGGCATGGCAAACACTTGTGTGGCCAGAACCGTTGAGCCCCCTTGAAACTTCTGAACTTTGTCGCTCCCCCAATGCGGAATGCCGCGACCAGATACCATCAAATATCCCCCCCTTCCGAACTCAACTTCCCCGACACCCCTTCAGACTCCACACAAGAGCAAAACCTGCAGGTCCGGTGTGCGTACGCGCGACCACACACACACACATCCGCACACGCACAATGAGAACCTTTGAAAGGTCGGGCTTGTGGTCATTGGGCGGTTGTGGCCACAATCCAAAGCCTAAACGGGTGACTGGATGCAGTGGTGAGCTGCATATCGTCCTCGGGGCTCCAGTCGAAAACTCCACGGCGAAGCTTGTAGACCAAATGCCTGGCGTTGTGCATGCGCTTGCGAAAGCGGTGCGTTTGCATGGCACTCTTTTCAAGATTTGCTAGCACTTGCAACCTATTCAAGTGCCCCTCGGAGAAAACTCCCCCACGTTATGCCTCCTAACTACCCACGTTGATTCGATAGGCCTCTTCTTGTGGACTTTCAGGAAGTCATCCAGAACGATGCACACCTTGCTCGCCAAGCTCAAGTCTGCCAAAAAAAACATGCCAAAAAACGTCAAGCTTAACTTGATGTTTGTCCTGATTGCACAGTTGCCTTACTTTCGACTGTCTCTGCTGCGCAAGCACAACTCAGCAATCTAGCAAACGCTACGCAAAACATGTTTCACTTCCACGTATACTTGGGGCGTCTATCCGTTTCGGCTTCGTCCTTCCTGAGCATCACCGATAATTCAAGCAAGCAAAGGGCTGCATTCAAGTTCTCGGCCTCACCCAGGAGGCTCAGCTCGATAGAAGTGCCATCTCGTCCACAGGCACCAGCCTGAGTGACGGGGCAAACCCTCGAAAGGCAGCGTAGCAATACCTGGGGCTTATTCTCGGATACCTATGATACCGCTTTAAGTCACATCATTTCCACAAGCGGGTACACTTGGCAGTCTCTTCCCGATCAGCCTCTGGCCCTCTGGCGTTTCTGACAAAATAGCAAGTCTTTGCAGGCAAGGTTACGCTGATACTGGTAGCGGCAGTGAGACCACGCCCGAATCAGCAAGACATGTTCACAGTGTTTTCAAAGAGGTCCATGTCGAGTGGCATGCCACGTTGCCTGTGTGCACGTGCGTTTGATAAAAAAAGGCCCCTTGCCTGCCCATTCACATGATCGAATGAAGACATTGAAATACTTGCCAAAAGCAAACTATCAATATCGCCGTTTCTTTGCGGTTGCTTCCCTATATTCAATCACTGGGAGTGGTGATCAACGGGCGAATACGCACTTTGCATTATGTGGACTCATGGAGGGCACGGATGAATGGGGGTTAGTGTTCTGATAAAGCGATAAGCCTGGATTATAGTTCCCGAGCGCAATTCGGTTGACGCTGCACAGCCATCCACCTACCACGCACCCACATCTGCGACTGCCGCAATCAGCGAATCCCATCTATTGTCAAGGCTTTCCGATTCAATGGAAACAAAAAGAATCAAAGAACAGTTCGATGCCTTGAAATCCTAATCAATGCCATATGCCACAGAAGAGCGAGCGAGAGTCACTTGAATTCAAGTCAGCTGATAGCTTGGGACATGCACAATGCCAAGCGACGGCTAGCAAATCAAACCGATTTTAATAAGGTCTAACAAAACGATACAGCAGGAAAACATGTGACACGCTCAGAGCACCGCCCGCACACCGTTCCGGAAGAGCAGGTGCATCTCTACGAACCTGCGCCGCATTGAGGTATGTAGGTGAAATGCTGGCTGCCGCCGCACTCAAATTGGTTTGGGAGGAGCATGATACCTTGGCATCACTTTGAACAACAACAGGGCGACAAACGCACGTATACTGCACACACACACACGGACGAACGGAACCTGGAGAAAAAATAAAGAAATACATGTATTTTTCTTTAAACAAAATGATGGAAAACATACAAGTAAAGCAAGAAAACGGGCCACAAAACACACGAACAGCATCTCATGGAAAATATGTCTTGATGCCACCCCTGAAAAGCCAACCAAAATCGCTGAGCAGCCCTGCTTTTCAAGAACTGACAGCATGTCCAATTGGTAGGCAGACATTGTGTAAATGTCCCGCATCATTTTTCCATGGACCAGCAGAAACAACAAAAACTATGAGCTCACCATGCTTGGAATGCGTTTGTTTGTGTGTTTGTCGTTGGTGCTATTCATTCGCGCATGGGTCCATCGAGCATGTTGCAAGACGCTGTTGTGCAAAATGTTCCCTAGACCAATGATCAAAAAGGACAACACAGAAACAAAATCAAACAATCAAACAACAATCCTAACCCAACAGTTGCTGGATGCTTTGTTTTGGCATCCACAGGCATGTTGCGCAAGATGTGTGCTACTAAGTGTTGTGAAGCATGTGCCAAATGTTACAAGCAGATGTTGCACAGCATGTTCAATAGACTAAGAATGCCTCCAATTCCAGAGGGCTGATACCACTATCGGGAGTTTATCGGACCGTCTGAAAATTGTTGGATCACACAGAACGTATCACGCATAACATGTGCTAGGCCGAAGGGAAACCACCACGATAGGCAAACGTGCCCTGGCAATGTCTAAGATAATTGGATATATATATATATATAAAAAACACTGCCGTGCATGATTCACTTAGATGTTCTCAACAAAGACCACTGGAAAACCCACTGCATTACTCGCTAAACGCGATATTGGACCTCTGGAGCCTGAGTGTGTATTGCCACGTGTTTTGAATAACATGAACATGGGGCTCTGTGCATCCTAAACATCCTTTCGAAAAGACAGCACACTGTACCAGCAAGGTGTTATGTGATTTGAATCTCGCAGCCACTGCATGGGTACAACGCGATGTGTTTCATGCGTCTCAATGGTGTATAATGGGCACGTCAGGAATGGTAGATCTCCGCCATGCCATAAGTTGCAACAAAAGGAATGCTTAAGATAGAATCAAATGCTGCTTTCACAATTCTTGATTTGAGCGCCTGTTCAGTTGCCCTTTTGTCACTCTCTGGGCCTGTATGTGCTTCGGCACTGAACATGTAAACTACATATTATGTGCTTGCATGTTCTGCTAAGACTAGTAAAATGTAGGATGCCAAAACCATGGCAAACGAATGCGCATGACTTTGAAGACCCCAAAAGCACATTGGCAAAGGGCAAACTACACAGTAACAAGCAATGAACCACTACTTGGTATGTCTTGAGAAGGGAGTATCACGGTTACATATGTGGTCTGCCCCAGGAATACCCGCCTCAATAATTACCTGACAAAAAAAATAGTTATAAATAATAATAATAATAATAGTAATAATAATTAATAATAATAGTAATAATAAAAAGAACTTGGCGCACTACATTCTCAACGCCTGGAAAACAAGCAGTCATTGGTGCCCTGCAGCATTTAAATTGTTTGTCGCCCCAAGCTCTTATGATGGCCCGGTCTTTTGAACAAACGAAACGTTCAAGCCCTTTGAAGCTCCACGGGAGCACAAACCCAGGAAGTCTTGGTCGCCCGAATTTTCCCAACCCAAAAACATCAACATGAACCACTAACCAAGAACTAAGATCAACCATTGCTGATGGCTCTCGGCTATCATGGAGCGCACCAGATTGAACAGCCACCGCACAAATGCAGTGAAAAATAGCCTAGCTTTGCTTCGGCGCACCAGGCAAGCAAAGCAAAGCTACGAACTAATACTACTTTAAAGGAACCCACAAGGTTTGGACAAAAGACCCCTGTTGATATGTTTGGGGCACCGTCCCTGTCCCATCCAAAACTCGCAAACATGCCAAAAACAAAACAAATGTTAAACTACAAAGCTATTGCCAATACTTTTGCAAATACTAACTCCTTTCATAGTCTCAAGGGTTGCCATTCCAAAGATCAAAAACGGCTAGCCGGAAACAGCAACTTTTCTGGAGTTTGACAAAACAAGCTCGTAAAGGGTATCCCTCTTCAAGGCTCCCCCCCCCAAATAACACACAACTCCCTCTCATTTGATAACTCCCTCTCCAGCCCTGGAAAATAAGCAACGCAATGACGCAATGCATTTGTTTTGTACTTTCCTATTGCGGCCCTATTGGCCAGACAGGAGTCCACACAGGAAAGGACCGGAGAGCACTGGCCATGTCCAGACTAATCCGAGCTGGCCAGGGGGACCCTCCAAAGCCCGGTTTTCCAAAACCTTGTCGACCTTGAGGGGGCGGCGGGTTCTTCATCATGTTCCCCCATTAATTAAATGACACCAAAGTGACTGAAAGCAAAAGGAACGCAACAACAACGCAAAGCAAGGCGAAGCCAAGCAACAGCAGCAACAGCAGCCACACAATTGAAGCAGCAAAGCAGCAGCATCACAAGCGAGAATTGGCAAATGCAGGATGCGTAGTGGGGACGTGACGCCCCAGGCTCCTTCTGCACCCTACACACACAACAGCAACAACGAATACACACACACAAACATGCGTTCTTAATCCTTCCACTTAAATGTCCTTCAAGCAGCACACATCTGCTCCGTCAAGCGCCTGTATCCCTCCAATGTCTCGCACTCACTGTTGTAGCGGTTGATGACCTGGCTGGTCATCAGTGCCAAGTACTCTTGTAGCATGAAGAGCAACAAGCCAGTGTCACCCGAACTAACAGCATCCGGTCCATGGATTTGTCCAGGCTCCTGGCACAGTTTAACCTGCAAACTGATCGGAGCCTTGGATTTGTGCAAACGAATGTCACGCACCCGTCCTGAATACATCCAGCAACTTCAAGGCCTGAGATTCTCGGTTGCCAGTGGCGACGTGAGATGTTTGCGGCATGTCCATGTCACCTTGTCGTTAGCTCATCTGGCTAAGCTGCAGAAGAACACGTGGTCCACATCACATGTGCTCCCGCGCACCGGCTGGGCTCTCACGCTGCTTTGGGGCAGTTCACGGCGATCTTGGCAGGTGCTGGGTTGAACACTCTCGATCTCACTTACCGGCAACACGCATGCGATGAAGCTAATTACTAGTTGAATAATGGCGGTGTGATCCTCAGGTCATATTCCAAGGAAAATGTCCTTTGGCTGCTCCTAGAATATCGTGGTGCTGTGGTCGTAGCCTTCTAAGGAGCTGTTGTGTGAACATATCGGATAGAATTGAAAGGAATGGTCAACCTTGGCATCTGGCCGTGCCACGCACAACGTCGATGATGTTAGCTGCAGCGCCGCGACCTTGTTGGAAGTGCATCCGCGATGCAGCAAGCCCACAGTGATGACACACGGGCAACAAAGAAGTATGCCCGTGAAGCTCAGTACTAGGTGCGGCACCATCGAAAGTCTCAGCACTTGGTTTCAAGCCCAGCATCTGCTCCTGGCATGCCAAGCATGCGGAGGCTCCACTTTAAACTGACACGATGCCTGTGTTTGCAACCTGCAACAGAGCTGAGCTATAATGATCCGATCCATGCATAGGTCAACATGAAGCACTATTGCACGCAGACCGTCCGCCGCAGGTGAATGAAGGTAGAAGTTGCTGTCGCTGGTTTCAAGATCCAAGCTCTACCCTCAAGATTTACAGGTTCTGATTCACTGATTGAACAAAACTTGTTCCTTTTGCACGGCATCCCACAAGTTCAGAGTCTGAGTGCCAGGCCTAAGTTAAGAACTTGCCATCAACGATATGTCTGCCCATTGATTATTTGATCACCATCGACTCAAGAATAGCCTGTCTGCGCTAACTGCTTTGCACGCACGCACTGGTTCAGTTCTCACACCATCTAACATGACGTTTGGAAGTCCAATTTAGCAACTTCATAGTGAGAGAACACACCAAAACCAGTGAGGAGCAGCAAGTGTGCAGTGCAGACACGCCAAATCATGGACGGAAACTTGGTGGACAACGCTGCGAGATGCGGCAGCAGGAGACCGAGAGACCGAGGCGCTGGGCAAAGGCCAAACGAGGACGGTTGCACGTTGACGCGCTCCCTGAAACCCTCTTCTCGAGGCCTAGAAGGCATGCCTGTTCAAAGAAACCAGCCGGACTTTCAAGATCGGAGCTGCTCCATGGTGGATGTAGGGGAGTAGCCAATGTCGCAAGGGCATCGCCAGGCTTGTTGGCTGGCTGAGCGCAAGCCGCCGCCGCTAAACTGCAACACATAAATGAAGATGTCGAGCCATTTCGCCATGCGATCGCGACATGGGAGTGAGGTAAGAGGAGGCCGAGACGTAGGAGCGAGCCAAAACGATCCACGGGCGCACTTGAGCACAAAGTACCACCGATGGGAATGGTTGATGAGACATGTGGGAGCTCGACGCTGCAGAAAAAAGGGTTGTGCTCCGACACACAAGCTGAGTTGACTACAAAAGTTGTTCCTTTAGCACGGCATCCCACAAGTTAAGAATCTGAGTGCCAGGCCTGAGTTAAGAATTCGCCATCAACAAATGCTGATTCCCTGATTGAACAAAAAGAAGCCGAATCAGTTTCCGCAGCTTTCGGTGGAGTTTCAAGCCATGAAGGCTGCCAGGCACCAATCGGCGTCAAAATGCTGCGAAGCATCATTGTCAATTGGCACTCAGCGGGATAGCTTGGATAACTCTGGTGAATTGTGAAGCGCTACCATCAATACTGGTCAAAGCAAGAATACGAACAAGCCATTTTGGAAATCGAACCAACATGTTGGGTCAGAAAAGCTGTGCATACAGTCAACTAGGAACCAAACCTGCGTGGCAAACTATTTAGCAAGATCAGAATGCCCTGTGAAGCTTCATCCAAGCTTCCCTAAGTCCATGCTCAGGTGTTTGAGATTGTGATTCAGAAGTGCATTCATTTCACTCGTGCGTCCTTGTACTTGGTCCGATCGGCAGTTTTCACCGGCCCAGGATGATAGCCTGAGCAAGCAACAGCACGTCCCAGACCGACCTATGATATGTGCGCGGCACCAATCGGGCAAGCCGTCGTGCATCAAGGAAGCCAAAGGTGGCAGAAAGTTTGGGAGGTGGAAAGGAGATTCCTGCGGAACTTGTTTGCCATTCGGACATAAAGAGTAAAGAAGGCAAACCTACTGACTCAATGTAGAATTTGGTTGTTACAATTCTCACCTCGGAATGGCCAAAGTAAAAGGAAGCCTGCTGCTCGAGGCTCCCTGAGCCGAACAAGCTTGCATCTACATGTGCCTCTGTTCCACTACTACCTCATACTCACATCCCACGTCCCGTAAGCATCCGTAAGCATCCGTAACATCCTGTGGCATGCCGTATGTGAGGTGCCCAAGATTGCCGAACAGTTGCTGGTTTTCCAACCGAGCGAGGGAAGCCAAATTTGCCGGAAACATCTTGGCACGCGCCAGGCTCTCAGGCCCAAGCTGGCAATGAGCTCTCCCTGTTCGGCAGCCCCCGAGGGCGCAACGACAAAGCAATCATTGATATAACTGATAGGGAAAACGGCTCAAAGCACAGCCATGCTTTCTGAATGGGCTGCTAAGATGTGTGCGGACTCGTATCTCATCTGTTGCATAGGTAGAATTGCCCCTGCCAAACAAGAAACAGGATGAAAAATAGAAGAGGCCGCAAAAGCGAAGCATCTAGAACCATCACTCACTCATCCGTGTGGAAATCCTCGAGGACAAAGCGCAGTGCGCTGTTTCATCTTCACGCTGTTTCATGAAGCCATCAGCCTGGCCTCGTGTTCCGCATTGAACTTGTCGACAATGCTACGCACTTTTCGGGAGCACCTCCGCAGTATCAAGTATGTCACTCGTATCATATCAGGGTGTGCTGAATGCTGAAATTTCTGAAGAAACATGGAATCTGATGTCGGTCACACAAAGGTGAGTGGTCGTGCAAGCAGCTTTTGGATGACTCATTATCTTCCTTCAAACTTGCCAGAAAAATGCTCCTGTGCCAAGATATCTCTCATGCCCAACCACTCCCGAGGAAACGCAAGCTGGGAGCCAAACTCGTGGTCTGCCATGCTTGCGCACTGGAGCAGCCAGGTTCGATACACATTGCGCCAAAACATCTTGCCTCGGCAACCAAGCAAAGTACAAAGCAACAACATATTCATAAGCCCGCAGCAGCTTGTGATCCAGCCATTTCATGAGTCCGTGTCAGGCTTTGCAACAACTCTGCATGCCTTTCAAAACCCGGTCGCCACTAGCAGAACCCTGCGGGAAACTGCTGTACCAGCTGCAGGCTAGGACACTGACCACATCGCAGACTGTGAGAGATGGTAAGGAGCCTCCAAAAGCTTGAACGGCGAGGTGCATACGCAGCAATTCAAGGAAGCCTCATGACCCCGTGGGTTTCACGCAAACTACCCCCACCCCCACCCCCCACCCCCAAGAAAAAGGCAGAAACAGAACAGTCTGTCCGAAAGGGGAAACATGATAGCTGGCTGCTGGCCGAAAACAATCGCTCATCTGACTGATTGGGGGATTCACGCCCCGGTCACCCACATTACATGACAGGCAGCGGCCGTATGAGCTTGAGACAAACACGTTTTCACGGTGAAGGTTGCAAAGCGCCTACTGGCAAGGTGCGGGTGCGCGCTGGCTGTGCTGCGCCAATCATGAAGGTGAAACTGGAAGGTGTCTTGCCCGTACTCAGATCAATACCGCGACACAGTATCTTGAGGCCCTGGCTCTACCATCTCCAGCTGGGCATCGCGGTTGTCTTTCTTGCCTGACGAACGAATCCATCCCCGAGCAGCGCTCCAACCCATTGACTTGTGGCTCCAACCCATTTGACATGTACATGCTTCTATTATTAGGACTTACTACAAAGCCCCTTGAAGCCAGGTAGTCAGGTAGATCCACCTATTAAAATGGCCAATGGGCTTGGGCGCCGCTCAAATGTGGACACAACTGCCTGTAGCACATTGCACGACTTGGACCAACAACAACGCTGAAGCATACGCGGGTAAAACACACCGCGGGCCGGCTGAAGGCTTCTTCTCGCACCGCAACAAGTTAGGATGATTCTGCCGCAACTATAACTTCCCTGATCTCAATCTAAACTTCGACCTTGGAACACACCAAGCCCGCATCTTTTGAGCGGTGAGCTGTCCCTGACTCTCAAAATGAGGACTCGAGGACAATTTACAAAAGCTGACATGCAGGATTGTGAGGTTTCTGGCTTCGCTGTGCAGCATTCCATCTATTTTTGGTCGACCAAGTAAGCAACTTGTGACAACAAATGCCAGGCTAGAGGCGTTGAACAAACAGTTCTTACGGACGGGGCTCTTGGTCATTCCAAACCACCTGGCCAGATTCGGGACATAGCCCGGAGGCCTCCTTTCCCCAGCCCCGCCTGCCAAGCTGCCGTGGCCCACCAGGCGCAACTGCTCAAAGGCCCCAGCAACGTCCAGCCTCAACCATGCTCCACAGTTTATCTCAGGCACCAAGAAGGTACGGAAGGTGTGGAGAGAGCTTGTTCACCAGACTCAAACGCTGAAGCTCCAAGCTCACGACATCAAGAAAAGCATCAAAGCGGTTGGAACACCGGCCAATCCGCAAAGCTCGGTTCAGGGAATATGTTGCCTCCTGTTGCCTAGATTGAGTATCGCGTGTGACTGCAACGCATGATGATTGACTTTGAATTGGCGAATGCGGCTCAAAGCAAGCAACAAATGCACAAAATGCAGTCCTCCACGCTTGCTGATATGAAAGATAAACAAACGGTCGGTCCTGATGCATGTTATCGCAACACCACTCATCTGAGCCCCGCAGCTACCCACCCAGCCATCCACCCAGACACCTAGCCACATGTCCAGCAGCCAAGTCGCTGCTCTAACCAAAGTGGGAAGGTGTGCGCGTTCAGCTGGCTGAGCAACGACCTGGTTTCAAGCAACAAATCCAACCTCGCCCATCCCAACTCAGCTTGACTGATCATGCTGGCAAGCTGGCGACATCAACAAAAGCCCCGGAAGTGAGGTTGAGCCGCAGGCTTGTGTATGATCTCCTCCGGTGGCAGCGCCTCAGAGCTGCGGCAACACAAGAAGCTTGCGCTCAACTTGCTCTGATCAAAGCACTGCAGCAAGTTTGGCACCTGGCCATCGCGTCTGGCCAGGCAATTTTGCAAGTCATGGCAAGTCGGTAGCTGGCGAGCTCCAAACAGTTGGAATGGCAAAGGCCATCTACCAACACCAGTCTAGGGACGTCACCACCAATTCCTCACCGCATTCCTCCTCATCAGTTAGCCTGTGGAAGGTTGCACGCACTGCAGCCAAAGAACAAAAACGGATAAGATTCTGGTTTCGCGCGTTTGCTGAGTACTCGATGATTCAAGTCTCGCATGTTTGTGGGGGGGGGGGGGGACAAGCAAGCAGCAGCAAAGCAAGAGGAAGGCAAAAAGCTAGCAACGTCCCTATTTGGAGTGCCAACACAGTTCATTCAAAACTGCTTGCAGCCTGCACGGTGAATGGTTCATGTGCAGCAATGGCCGACTCCACATTCAACAGAAGAGCTCGGAGGATGTGAATACACAGCTCTAGCTAGGAAGATGCGTGCAAAACACAAAGCGCTTGCAACTTTCTCAACCCACAACGGATCACCGAAAGAAAAGCATTGAAGTGTTGCTGCTCGCAAAACCACAGCAGTGCCAAGCCTAAACAACAAATGCGTGGATCAACTGTTGTGCTACTGGGGAGGACAAATTCCACCTCTTGCAATTCAACCCTTTCAACTCGCCTCTCGTACAGCTTGTTGAACTCTGCCCGGTATTCGTCCAACTCGAGTTGAAGGATTGCGTACCTCACATCACAGCTTTGCTCGCTTGCAAGGCATGAACTTTGAGAGGCTGGTCCAGCGATGTCTTCAAAATCAAGCTGCCAAGGATCCAACACATGTCCATCCTTATTGTCACGAGGTGCTTGTGTGCTGTGACTGTGATGATAGCGGGGGCGCAAGCTGTGTCAAGATTTGGGCTTGCTCTGATTGATTTGGTATTGTTGACTTGTTGTTTTGCCTTTATCGCCTTTTTTGGTCGTGTCGGCATCTTTCTGAGCTTATAGGATACATATATTACTCCACCAGAGGCGCCAAGTTGCTTCTGCTCAGCTCAAACATCAAGACAAGGACCCCTGCGCCCAACCCTCAGAGCCAATCCTTTTTTCCGAGGTTACGGATCTGTTATGAAAGTGGGTGATCAGCATTGCCTCCGGAGGTCCTCAGACCAGACTCTTGTCAATATGACGCCCAACATAAGAATCCCAAAGCGCACACACACACAAACACATCACGCCTTTCTTCATCGTTAGTCTAATCTACTCTCTTGCTCACTTGTCTCCTTTCATCTGTTGTCCTGCATTTTTGGGGCTGAACTGGACTGTTGGACTTCGCTGCCTTGGCAACTTGGAGCTGTGATTTCCCACCGGCTTGTCAACTCACCATTGCCCTCCATTGCTACAGAGCTCTGGGTCGCCGGCAGCTCCTCTTTGTAAGCTTCCCTGTTGTCGAACTTCCAGTGAGCAGTCGGCCGAGGGCCCCTGAGCCAAAAAAGTGCTTTGTCGTTGCCCACATTCCTGCTTCCAGCTAACAAAGCATAAGGCCGTTTTGATTGCAAGCCCGAAGGCATCTACTGTCAATTTGTTTTGGAAAGCCAGGGCGGCAAAGCGGCTTAGCAAAGAGGCTGATGCAGGCAAAACTGAGTCTCCAAACACTAGACGGTGAGATTGATGTTCAACACGCTCCAGCAAATCACAACATCGAAGATAAGGGACAAATAATGAAGGAAAACGTGATTTAAGTACCGGACAACAGAAGCTTTGTTTTCGCATGAAAATATGCCTCGGAGTGGAAGAGCGGGAAATCAACTTCTCAGGCCATTCTATGTGATGAACGTCTGCAGCGCTCTCAATGAATGACTTGAAATTGTGCAAATTGCAAAGGCTAAAACTCGCAAATAGCAACCAATTGCTTTGATGGCCTGATAGCCATAAGGATTCATTTTGTCTGACACCTGGGATAAATCAATCATTCAGACACGTTCTTGACCTCTGACCTCTAGTCTCTGTGAATATATGCAGCAAACCATTTTGTTTTGGGCCATATCAGCCCTTTGCCAAAGGCCTGGTATCGAGCGCCCACTGCTTGAAGAAATGATCTTGCAGCTTCCGACCTGAGTCGCAGCACCGTAAACAATCGGTTCGAGGCATGCTCCCACTTCAAACGCTCAGCTAGAAGTAAACCACTTTGAGATTGTCATTCCACTCGCGCAATCACTCTTGGCCCTTTCGATGGAGAAAGCGTGAATGCACCGTCCGCAAATAGCAAGTACTACAGAAATGTTGGCTGAAGCGTCGCGTCTGCCCAGCAATTGTGCCGGTTGACCGGCGCAAGCGCGGCGATAGTACTCGCTTGAACCAGTAGCCTTTCATCATAGATTGCGGCCTCTGACAAGCACTCCAATGGTGCAAGGAAGTCAAATCAAGTAAGTCACTGAACCAAAACAAGAAAGACATGAATAGACTTCAGAATATTGGGTCTCATCTGAGCGTTGGTTTTTATTCCCTACAAACTTGCTTGGACATTATTCAAGCTTCCGCGGACCCTTCCGCATCCTTCCCGCGGGCCAAGAGGTCCCTTCCGCGAACTTCCGCGGCACATGTGTTTCATTGTTTGCTTCCGCAAACCTTCCGCGGGGCATGGTTTACAAGTTTTGCTTCCGCGAGCATTGGCGCAGAAACAAATGTCATTTTAAGTGAGGTAGTGTTCCGCAGCTTGTGTAGGCTTGGGCTCCGTGGCCGCTTGCTTGCAAACACGGGGCCTCCCTTCCGCGGAGCTTCCGCGAAGCTTCCGCAAACCTTCCGCGAAGTACGCCGGCTGTTTTGGCCTTCTTGGCTTGCTGTTGGCATCTGCTCTTCGAGTAAGCGCTACGTTTCTTGCACGCGGCAACACCTTTTCTTCTACTGGAATTGTTTCTCCGAGCTTTTCCATGCACGCACTGAAACATTTAGTTGTATATCAGCCACCAAGCTTCCGCAAACCTTCCGCGAACAAATCCCTTCCGCGAGCCTTCCGCACGCTTCCGCGCGTGTGGCGCGGCGCACATTTTCAATAATAATGTCCCTCTCCCCACTAAATTAGCTTGCGGGCAAAAAAACCGCCGCTCATCTGCTTCATCTGTTGCTATGCGGAGATTCTCAACGTGCACGCTGACGCTCATGCCATTCACAACCACGTCGATCGCCAAAGGACACGCCGTGCCCCAAAGCAAAGAGACGTCAATCTGCACGGTAGAATGAGGCGCGAACAAAGCAAATCCAGGAACAATAAGTGGGGGTAAATTTGTCTTGGTTGCCAGGTCGGGAAGCGGTCAGACCCCTGTTTAGACCACATTGTGGCGGGCGCCCCAGCTGCCTCCAGCTGCCCTGAAGTGCGCCCACACACCTTCTGGCCCTACCACGCAGACTGGTCGCAACCCCTTGTCGCCCACTGCGTGTGGCTCCGCAGCTGTCTGAAGCGAGCCCCTTCTTCTCGCTTCACCTGGTCTCGCCGTATGGCTGTAGCTCTTTGCCGACCTTCCCCCGATCAACCCCTTGCGCCCGAGGCTTTGTCTGGATCACGGCTGTAGCTTTGGCCTGGCGGCAGCTCCGCCCCCCGAGCTGGCCCAAGCCGTGTCTTCCCCATGGCTGCGCTTCCCCAGCCCTTGCTCTGGCCGTGGGGCTTTGCCGAGCCCCATTTGCCCTTTCAGCCCCGTCCCTAGTCACTCAACCTGGCCGCAACCCTTGCGCCCACTGCGACCTTTACGGCACAGCTGTGGCTCTCCAGCTTTGACATTGGCTGTAGCTCAGGCCCTTTCAAGCCCGACCAAACGAATCCTGACACTTGCCGAGGCGGGCAGCGCAAAACGCTTACAATGATTTCTCCCGAAAACAGTTTGTGCGCTTCCTCTCAAGCCATTGCGAGAAAGGGCAGCTTCAACATGCCGAGGGCTTGAATTGAAGGGGGCCTGAACAAACTCCCCGGCCCTGGCCCTGGCCCTTCCGCATCTCTTCCGCCGCCCTTCCGCGCATGCAGTCGGAAGCTCATGCCAGGCTATCCCGGAATACTAAACCAAATACATGGATGGGTTTTAGCATGACCGCAGGTGGTGCGTGGTCTCTTCTGGTCTCTTGGCTCAGCCCTGCACGTCTAGCCACCTCTGCGCGGTGTTCCTCCTTGGCCTGCCAGGTGGCCAGCAAGGTGAACGCCGCAGTATGGCCACTCACACACACACAAACAAACAAACAATCAAACACGCGTGCGTGCGCGCCCGCACGCACGCGCACATGCACACCCGCGCACCCGCGCGTGCGCACGCACGCACGCACGCACGCTCACACCCACCCACACACACACACACACACGCACGCACGCACGCACGCACGCACGCACGCACGCACTCACGCGCGCACGCACGCACGCACGCACGCACCCACACACACACACACACACACACAAACACACAAACAAAAACCCACAAACCCACACACACACACAACCTCGCACTCCTGTATACTGGAGCAAGAAAACCAGGCAGCGACCAAAGGTAAGTCTAGGTCTTTTTGACCGCATCTCCGAATGGCCCTGCCTGCTCTGATAAATGAGGGCTAGGCTCCACGTCCATGTCCACCTGTGTCCATTCACAGAGCAGAATGGCATAATCTGCTTCACTGGCACGAATCAGTCGTTGTTAAGTGCAGCACCACATACTGTAAGCTTGTTCATAGGTGCCAATGGTGCAACATTCAGCATTCAATTCATTGGCGATGCCGGTCAACAGGTGTGAAACAAACCAGTGTTTGAGTCGCATGGGCACTTTCAAGCACCAGCAAGCCTGCATATTCTGTGGTGCAACTCCTCTGCGCGACAATCATCTCGCATGCAGGACAGTCACGACTTGGTCGCGCATTGATAGGAGCTTCTTCCAACGCACTCCACTCTAGTATAGGCACGCACGCAAGGTCTCATGCTTCCATGGCCGCCACCCAAAAACTTCAATGGACTCGCCTCGCACGTGCGGAGCCGTGGGATCAAGGGCTTGATAAGATGTGTCCACACCAGCTTCAGCTTCACCTGGCAGCTAATGCCATGAGCTGGCGGCACATTTGCCAAGCAAGACAATTCGGACCAGGTGGAGATCATCCGCCCTTTAACAGACCTTTGAGTCCAAAAATGGCTTCCAATGAAGCAAATGACACTGGGTTGAGCAATTCATGGAAGCTATGTGGCATGTTACAAAGCCCCAAGAATCCGAATGACTCATTGAACTTCCAGCAAAACAAGCGCTCCATGCAAGCGTGTTGTTTGCTCGCACGGCCAACGAAGCAAATGGAGCATGCAAATATAGCATGTTCGCTACCAGACTGCAGTTCGTGGCCAATCAGCTCATGGTGTGAGAAGCAACAGGATCATGCCATTGCCGGTGATGATCCGAGACTCCGAGAAGTACCATCACCGCTCAAGTTTGGCAAAACAAATTAAACGTTGGTGTCTTTTTGGGGAAGTCCTGGATTCGAATAAATGTACACATCTGCCAGCTCCTGCTGATGGAGGCTTGCAATCCAGCAATTTCATGATATTTCAGGGGGGAAACAAGCATGAATCAAGGGTATCCTTGATGGCAACACTCGTCATGTTCATTGAATCAGTGTTTGAATTGGGGTTGGATGAATCCATCAGGTCAGCTTCAACCAAGAGGTTCGCCATGCTAAGATGACCTCCGATGTCCAAAATGGCCAGAGTTGAAGCATCGGACAAGTGTTGTACCAGTTGTCACTCTCTCGTGATCCTCCGCAGCATGTTTGGTCACACTTGACTATTCCGCAAACATTGCATGGTTGCTTCAAGTCGGGCTAAGCAGAAGTGCCTCATGCCAGTGTCACGCAGTCATCTTACTTGTTCAAGGCTGTTTGTAGGAAAACAAACAAGCTTCGTGTTTCAGAAAACCTCACAACCCACTGCAGGGTCCAGCGGCGGATGATCTCGGTCCTCATATGACCTCTTTTTGCTTCTTGTCTGATCGGCCCTCGCTATCCCACCTTGTTGGGGCCCTGCAATGGGTGGAAGAATGTTTCGTGAAGCCGCAGCCGCTCGGGGACCTCAGCGCAAGCAGTGCCCAACCAACACTTCAGTTGCCTGGTTGTGCTGTTGAGGGTGCTGCAAACGCGTTGCTCCCAGAGTGGGGAAGTATGTCATGCCAATTTGCTTGGTCAGCGGAGGTCAGTTTGATCTTCATATTCCGGAAAGCTCCAAGAGGTTCTCAAGCAAGACTGGACAATTCACATCATAACCTTAGTCAATCAGTCAGGAAAGGCTGCTTAGCTGGGTCCGACAAGTCGTTGCCAGGCTAGAGCGCATGTTTGTAACATCTACTTTGGGCACAGTAGTCAAACAAACTGTCCAGCACTCTGTCTTGATCACCAAGGTTTCCAAATTGCTCTACCTTCAAACGCGATGACCTTTCCGTTCACAGTGTCCTGGGGAAGCTGCCTGTGACACTCCTGGCAGCATCAGAAGTTCCTGGCAGCTTTGAGTTCTGACCCCTGCTACAGCCACCCGCTGCATGGATTTGCAAACGTTCACCTCTCCGCAGTGAGCATACAGACTGGTCCACACTTCAGGCGCAGCTTAGGATTTAGCAAATCAAATCTTCTGGGGCCAGCCTCAATCTTTTGAAGCGGTGTCATCGTCTCGTCCTTGACGAGTGGAATTACGCCTTGGAGCAAGCAGCGTTCTGAGGTTCATTGTTCCAGCGAAGTCTCAGCCATGCTGCAAAACCACCCTTCAAGCAAATATATTAACCATAGCGCATCCAAGGCCAGAGCGTTTGGAGAAGTCCACCCCCTCTGAGGGCTTGATGATGTTTAGGACCTTACTTCAACGTTGTGAGCCTTCTGCATTTGTGGGCCGCATTGCGCTGAGCATCCAAAATGCTAATGGACACTGCAATATGAGCTTCAGTGCATCAATCGAAAACTCACCTCTCAACGTCTCAAGAAGGCATGCTCTGGAGGACTCTGCGCGAGGCTCAGGGATAGCGCTTATCTCAATTCTTGCGACTTTCCGCATGGCACTCTTGGCATTTGAAGGCCGCGGCCGCGTCGCTGAGATCTGAGGCCTGTCGGGGCGCAGCATTTCCCAAACGCAGACCAGGTAGCATGGCATCAACTAGCGGTCCGATTAACTGTCATGCGTCCATGTGTCGAACACCCACGGTGTTCTCGAGCAGCTCAAGCGAGTGCCGCGCGTCGTGGCATTCGGGCAACCATTCCCTTTAGCCTCACTGCACCTCTGTCAACCACGCAGCTCTGAGCAATGACTCCGGTTGTGCTAGATCCTGCCGGGGCTAGAATGCACAACTGCGCTCCCGGTGGGCAGGTCTTTGTTGTTGGTTTAACGTTAGGCATGATGGACAAGATGACTGCCTCGTCATTGAGGATACAATGGCATTTCCTTTACGCCTGCTCATGAGAACAGCTGCTTCTTCCCATGGCCACCTTAGGCAGGACGATTTGACACAACGGGCGAATTTAGAGCTAAAATGGCCAATGAACATGCTGGATCTCAACGAGTTGGTGTTAAGATGCCTTGCGATTTGTAGGCACGGTTTGGTGCTCTACACGAGGCCTCCGAAGGCAAAAAGGCCAGCAGTGCGCAGCACGGGCTAAGACCTGTTCTGATCAGAGGGAGATGAGCAATTAGCCGTGCGCGAAGCAAATGTGCAGATCCAAGTCAAACTGGGGAAACCCGTGTCAGCGATGGATGCTTCGCAGCCAGGACGAGTCCCCGGATAAAGGGAAATCCATAGCGAGCCGCAAAACAGCGATCTTGGGCCCGGCTGTTCATTGCGAGGGGGACTTGGCTTTGGCAGTCAAGGTGGCCAGAGCCCTGCGCTGCGCTCGGCCGGAAGGGGAACGGCGCTGCGTAGAAGGGACGGAAGACCAGAGCCGGTCTAGTGCTGCTCGGCAACGAAGGCCTGAGCAACGTTGAGGTGGGGGTTGATCAAAAGGCCCTTTACATGGGATCGCCGGGCCAAGGCCGCGCGGAACGTGCGACATCACACAGCTCCTCCACGGAGCCACCCACCCACCCACCCACCCACCCACCTACGCACGCACATTTATCGCATGGCGCAGCATGATGCAGTGCCTGACCCAAGAGTAGTCCTCCCTTGTAAGAAACAACACCGCGAGCCTTCTGCGGCAGCTTTGTCACCATGAAGGCCGTGAAACCACCGTTTCCTCGCGGCGCGCACACCATTCGAGCTAGTGCCGTGGCACAAAACTGCAGCAAGACTTGCTTGGCAAGATTCCCAAGGTCTGTCACCGTAATGTCATTTATGCAACCAAACCAACGCAAGCCGTGACCTTTGAGTGGCCAGGCTATTCTGTAATCTTCATTGGAATCATCAGGCGGTTTCACGAGCCTCGAATCAGCAGCTGTGCTCCTCCGGCCAGCAGTTCCTGGTAATGCTTTGTCCACACGTGCCATGTGCCAGAGTAACACACTGACAAGACGTTAGCATGTGCAAGTGTGAGAGGATTCAAGTCTTGCCTGGCAAATGCTAAAGCAACTCAGCGTCCCAGCAATTTCATCTAGAGAAACCGTTCAGCATCTGCCAAGCACTGGATTCTCTATCAGCAACCTGATGGAACAAAGTCTATATCTTGCCAGATTTCTGGGGGACTGGCTCTGACCACAGCGGAGTTCCCGTTGAAGCAGGCGTGGTGCAAAGGCGTCCACCCATCGATATCCTGACAAACTTTGTGAAATGATGCGACTTGCTTTTGATGCAGCCTGCGAATGACTTTCTTTCGCCCTCATGCTTGAGGTCTAGGGCGTTGAATGGCTTTTGGCAGTGGCTGGGTCCCAACAACGTCCGCTTGTCATAAACTTCAAGCCACTTGCAAGTCTGTGCAAGGATGAAACAGCAAGACAAACAGCAACGGGCGATCTGCCTTCACATCCGCGTCCGCACCGCTGCTAATCAGAAGCTTTGCAATCTCAGGCAGATCCTGCCAGCAGAACAAGACCAAAAGGCAGAAGTGCATGTGAAAAGGGCATGAATTTGTAGGCGGTTAATTGCCCGGAAAAGTGAAGAGAGTCAATCAAGTCAAGGCTGCATTCATCGAATCCACAATCCTCTGTCTTGCTTCGAGCTGCATATCATCAGCAGTTTGTTGTGCATATGCACATACGGTAAACATGTGAATGTATAGAACATGCATAACGTACGTAGCACAGCTTCCATGATACAATGTGCGCGACAAACTATGTAGCTTGTTTTTTGCTGTCTATGTCGCAGTATTGAGCATTGATACTGTACGCTGTTTTATGCGATACGATATGTACAGTTTGCTTGGGGGCTGTGGTGTAGTGCGGCAAGGTGAAATATGGTCTTGCAGTGTCCTGTTGCGTTGTGCAGTGCTTTATACCATGCGTAGTGATGTGTGGCCTGGTGTCAAGTGGCATCATGCAAATCTCAGGTGCCTCTCGTATGCAAGGCTTTTTCTCCTTCTGGTACATGTGAGGCTCATTGACTCAGCAGGCTTTCCCTTTCCTTGTATATACAAGTGTTGAAGCTGGATTTGGGGTTTGTTCATGTTGTTTGGGTTTGTTTTCTTTAACTCCTGTAGGGCCAGCAGTTCTGAAAAGGCAGCATTTGAGGCAAGTGGGCTTGTTTGGGGCAAACGATGGATTTGGTTTTGGGTTCCGAAGTGGTTGCATGCGTGCGTGCACGCTCGGACACCCGGACGGATGGAGCGGTGTGGGTGGAGGTGCAGTCGAGTGGGTATTGGGTGCGGGTACGGGTGTGTGTGTGTGTGTGTGTCACGGCTTGTGTGTGTGTGTTCACGTGTCCTTGGTGGGTCCGTGTGTATGCTTAAAGTTCATTGCCGCAATCTGCCTCTCTTTCGCTCTGTACGTCACTTCGCCTCAAAAATCCCGCCATCAGCTCCCGCCTTTCGAGCTGCCAAATGCAAGGCAGCCCTTCCCCGGGCGTTCTTGCCTTGCAGGAGCTTGCAACGCAAACCGCGAGCGAAACAAAAGGACCTGCAGGCTCCAGTGTGCAGACTTGCAACAGACTGTTGGTCACCTAATCCGACATGCTCCTCCCAACAAATACATGTTTTCTTACCACAGGCTTGAAGGACCAGTCAAATAGACACGACGTTCTCACAAGCAGTGACCCCTTGTGCAGGAACTGTTGCCCCTCACGGAAAAGGCCAAGAGTCAGTTAGCACGTCCAAATTCAAAAGCGACTTTTGCACACTTCCAAAGGTCGCCAAGTTTGGGAACAATTGATGCATTGCAAACTGCCAGCATGCCTGCAAGCACGGCCTCCGCTGCGAGAAAAAAAGGGGTGAGTTTGGTTCCCAACTAGCTCAAGTTGGGCCAACCCTGACAGATTGTGTTTTGCGTTTGTCGCACGCGTTTCTTTTCCAGGTGAGACACGGGGTGTCTTCAACATGGTGGGTCTCCTTTTGGTTTTCCTTTGAAAGCCGCAACACAGGGGCACCCTCATAAAAGAAGGCCCACATCTCAAACAGCCAACAGCCTCTCGTTGAATGCACGCAAGGTTAACTGAATAAGCAGGAAGGATGTGGCGCCAGACTGCCACAACTACACAGTCTTCCTTTCCGCAACAATCTCTCTATGCTATCTGTCCTTTGTTCTCATGTCTCAAAGCGCCCCATTGTTTCCGCTGTAGGGAGAAAAGCGGCTGTAAGCTGTCTGTCATTCCATTCCATTAAGCCATAAAAATCGGAATTGAGGTCCAATGCTAGGTCAATGCTAGGCCAGTGCAAGGGCAGTGCTAGGCTATGCTAGGCCATGCTAGGCAAATGCTAGGCCAACCAAAGCCCCACCCAAAGCTCAAGCACGGCGGCACGGGCCATCTCTTCCCAATCCTTCTGAGCGCAAAGCCTTGGAGATGCAGCTTCATGCCCTTAAGTGGATCTTGTACTCGAACCAGCGCCTGAAACCAACGCAGCGCGGCGCCTTGCCCAGAAGCCAATGCCAAGACGTTTCAAGACAAACGAAACACATATTGAGATGGGCCAAGACGTGCGAAAACGAGCTGCAAGTCAGAGCATGAAAGATGCCGAGTGCTTCACCTATTGTTCCCCACAAATCCGATAGCACAGGGCTTCCAGTCATTCCAGCAACTCATTATTTTTGAGGCTTTTTCAAAATGAGCTCAGCATACTAGAGCATGCATGGCGTTCTCAGAGTCAGGACTGCCTTCTTCAAGGGCACAGCATGACGGTTCCAATCGCTTCATCTTAGTCTCTGCGCCTCGACGCAATCCTTCTTTCCGTGGAAGACTGCCAGCGTCAACGGCGTCCAGCCGTTTTGACCCTGCAACGTGGATTCGGGGCTTCAAATTCCAGCATGATGAATGCAGCAAGGCATTTACACCAACAGCAACTCAATGGTTGAAATGATGCATGGCAGGAAATATGCTAGTCTAGCTTTCGTGGTCATACATTTTGTTGGGGGCAAGCAAACTGCACAGTGGCGGCCTTGTAGTTCAGGTCAGCACCTCGGGAAGCAAAGAGGCAAAAAGCTGCCCTTTGCACCAACATTTGGCCATGTGTCAAATTCCCGTACCCCCAGTTAACATCCCAATCCCCACTAAAATGGACTAGAATGGGTGGTGCACCTACCCCTAAATGGTACCATTGGTTTTGACCCACACAGCAATGTATAATCCAAACAAAGGATTTGGAAGGCGTGGACCAAGCAAATGCAGGAATCACTCGGTCTGTTATTCATTCTCAGAGAGTTCTACCTGCACGCACCTGTAAAGGTTGATTGCGCGGCAAAACAAGTGTGATGACTAACTCTTCTGGAGTGATGTTGGACCTCCTTTAGGAATAGTACCCTCTATTGTAGAAAATGTTTTCCTAATTAAGGATCCTGTGACTGTTGTTAGGGGTCCTCTATTAAGTATTTTGCCCCCCCCCCCCAAAAAAAAAAATACTATCTAAAAACACAGAGCTTATTTTTTCACTTTCTGGATCTGCTCGGGCTCAGGCAACAACTCCGGGCAAACACTAGGGAATCGGGTTCTTGAAGTGGTCCCCAAACCATCAAATTTAAGATAACTTCTGTACAAAAAACTGCGGGCAAGCAGTCACACAAAGGGGTTTGCCCACAAGAGGCCCTGATCCTCTTTAATGTGACTGTTGTGGGTCCTCTTTAGTGTCCAACTGTTTTTTTTCTTTTTCCGGGTTGCTGAAAAAAGGGTCCTTGGCAACACTACAGTAGAATTGGCAATACTAAAGCAAGTACTGTCCCTCCCAGACCCCCAGGATTTTCACTAAAGAGGGTGCAGCTGGCTGGTTCCACTGTTCAGGGTGGGGGGGGCCGCGTAAAGAGGGTCCAACATTGATCTGGAAAGGGATTAGGGGGCAAGCGCTGCAAAGCAGGTACAATGACTGCAGCCCTCCTTTGTTGACAAATACCGTGCCCTCAACAACTTCTAACCTCCGACCGTGCAAAGAAGCGAAGCTGAGCTTCAAGCGCTTTGCAATCAACTGCTTGAGTTGCGCCCCTGTCAGCTCGGGCATTTGCTTCAGCACTTCCTCAAGCCGCGCAGCTGACACTCCAATGACAAATGCAAACACGCATGGCACCAATTGACAATTCTGATCATGGCCAGAGTCAGAGTAAGCCCCCCTAGCTTGCATCAGCGTATGGTGCTTTTCCGTCCTGATCTAGTGACTATGTCTATAAGTCTCCCATCGGTTGGCACCTGCAGCATGTGGCAAAGGGTTGGAGGGGTAGACATTTCCGAAGTTTTCCAGCTGGCTTCCCAATTCACCTAGACTCCACCTTGCCAGGTGATTGCATTGACTGGTGCGTATTCTTGCACTGATCGCTCACGAAATACCGTCCTCGCTCATCTTTGCCCTGTATCGCGGAGAATTCTCGTCCTGCTCCTGCCGTCGACATAGGCCTCGATTCAAACCTTGATGCACCTAGACTTCTACTTGAAGTGAAAGCAGCTCGCTTGGTACTTCCCTTCAGGCTGGCAACAAACGTTTGACAATGTCACTTGATTGCAAGTCAGCCATGCCCAAACGAGGGCGCAGTCATCCTTCCAGCCTCGACTTCTATGGGCAACTGCCTGTGTGCATTCCTATGTGTTCATGTCACTGTCAACACAACTGCTGAGCTGTGCTTAAGTCCTTGGTGGTTTCTTCGCCAGGCACTGGAGGATTCCAATCCGGCCTGGATGGCAACATGGAGGCGGCAGCTTGGGCGAGCTTTTACTGCGCTTTGCACGGCATCAGCTGTCTGCGTGCTAGACTCTAGCACTCCAGCCACAGCAGCAGCAAAGAAAAAGGGGGCAGGTGCAGAATCACTGAAATTAGAAGGAGAAAGAACTGCACACCACAACTCGTGCCGTGCCTGTCATAGGGCCCACACTCAAGCAGCACCTTCAACACTTCCATGTGCCGAGATTTCGAGGCACGGAAGACAGCACAGTCCAGCTCCTCATGTCAGCAAAATTGTTGTCATCCCTATCGACACGCTCCACTGATTTGCCGACCGCTGCTCCAATTCGAAACACTCGTCATCACAAGCTTCCCACCCAAGGAAGCACACACACACACACACATTTAATTAGTGACGGGGTGGTATAGTACGAACATTCACCTCCTGCCTGTCACCTTCTCAGCTTCGCGCTTCTCCCACCAAGGACTAGAACTTTGCAATCATTGCCCACGCCCCCCCCCACCCACCTCACGTGTGCAGCCTTTTCCACTTTAGTTGCTGCATTTGTTAGCTGCTCCCAACATACTAGACTCCCTTCACAAGCCGGGCTTGTTGGGTACAATCCCAATCAGCTTGCCATGTTGGACTGCCACGAAGTACCGGTTGGTTGCGCGGGGGCCAATCCAGGATCATGTCATGTGCTTTTGTTGCGGCTATCCACTCACGAATATGCTAATTTCACAAATTCCGTCTTCACTAGCCTGCTGCTGTGTTGTTTGAAGGCGGATCTCGAGTGTTTGCAGAGCAAATCGGTTTTTGTCTTCTTGCCAGCCAAATTTGCCACAGCTAAGGAAGTAAGGGCAAGACATGATTGTGTGGACCTATAGCAACAATTTAATGTCACCGTTTGACATAAAGCAGGTGTTGATGAATGTGTTTATTTCGCCAGCAGTTGCAATGGCATGCCTCAGCCCTGCGGCTCTCCTTGTTATGCCGTAAAGGGTCGCAGCGCGCGAGCAATAGTTGCTTCGCCTTAGACAAAGTGTGCCCAGTGTATATTGTACCAGGCCCATCCAACCAATTCAGGCACAAACCTATCCATCAAACTTGATCGTGCTGGCTCCAGTGTTTGTTTCTCTCTCTCTCTCTCTCCCTCTCTCACCCTTGCCGTGCATACCACAACTTAAAGCATACAGGCTGTGGATCCTGCAAAGGGGGCGTCCATCTTGCCGGTCACGTGGAGCCTTTGCACGTCAAAGTGGCCCCAAGTGGCCGATCAAAGGATTGAGTACTCACAATACTTACAAGTGCGTAAGCACATTGACCCTGCCCTGGGCCCTTTGGTGGGAGCTCCTGGCCACCATGTCACTGCTAAGCTCAGGACAAGATCGTGCTGCCATTCTTGTCGGTCATGTTCGGATCCTCGGCCGCTCGTTAAACAGGATTCATCCCACACCGTCTGTTGCGTTGCACTGGAATTGCAGCTAAGTAGGTCCAGGTGCGGCATTTTTGTTGGTCCCGAAAGGTCGAAGCTCCAAGGTTTCTCTGGCCGAAAACTGCAGCTTGATTCCAGGCAGCATAAACCGCCGGTCGCCATGGATCAAGGAATTTCCAGCTTACCGAGTCTCAACGCCGACAGCTGGGCTGGCGCTAGGGTGCCGGCAGCTCTTGAGTTCAACAACTTCAAGGCAGCCTAGTGTCGAGCAGCTGTCTGAAGCAAATGAGTGCTTGCATCAAATTTTGCTCTCAACATCTCGGAGAGACCAGCACCACGTCGCGTGCATGACTGCTGGCTGCCAAAAGAAGCAAAGCTTTTGCCAAGCAGCACTCCTACATTACATGCAGGGCCCACATGTGTAAGCGCTCAGCTTCTCTACGTGTTGCATGTCCACAAAGAAATGATCAAGACATGCTGTCATAATCTGTCATGTTGCAAAACAAAGTTCGCTTTGCAAGTTCTTCCCTGAGACGCCCGCATCTTTCATGGGCTGCTTGTAGAAGTAGGAATTGGTCGCCTGGCGGAGGCTCGGCATGGAAGGCCAAGGATCCATCTGAGGGACCCTTGCCCCGCGTTGGATGTGAAGTACGATAAGCACAAAGATCGGCGAGGAGCAAAACATCGCGACCTGCTCCATTTGGCAATCCGAGTTCCATACCCCAGCAACGGAAATGATGTTGAGTATCTGCCAAGCATGGGTTCGAAACTTTCTCATCCCAAACCTCCGGATACGGGTTTGTTCAATGTTAGCTCGGCGGCACTGCCAATCACTATTCCATGACGTGTGCACAAAGCGCCCCTTCGGTTAAAGGTGTGCCTTCGTTTTTGATGGTTTTACTTCTTGTAGGTTCTTTCCGTAGTCATCTTCCCGTAGTTTAGCTCTGTTTAGGCTTCGACTGGCGTTCGTCTCAAGACCTGCGCTCCCTGCAAAAGCCGCCACATGCACAATGGGGATCCTTCGCTTTACCAGTACACCTTTGTCTCGGGTGTGTGTGTGTGCCCTACCCCAGTCCAATACATTCATTATGCCCACCTCGTAACTGCAAGAGGTGTCGGGCGCATCAACACTTAGCTCGGCCTTTCTAATGGTGGCCTGTTGGAACGTTCATGCGCAAGGCGGAACACTTTGAGACCATCCCAATGCTTGTAACTCCGATTGAGCTGCAAATGATTGGTTACAGTCGTGGCCAGAGCATTCCAAGTCAACAAGCCCCTGCCTGCTCCAGCAAACGTTCCGAGAACTTGCGGTCGAATCCCTCTGCCATAACTGCGCGACCTAAAGAACAATCCGCAAGACTTGAAAACGCTGAGAGGCAACTCCATGGTCCTGAAAGTTTTCAAGCGCACAATTTTCAGCTACCACCCTGCTCCAACCCCTTCCTGTGCTGGGGCTTCTGCGCAGCGTCTCCTCTTTCACCAGAGTCTCGCACCTCATCATATCTACTCCCTTCAGGTATTTGGACCAAGTGAATTGATTGCATACGGGAATGGCATCTAAGTCATCTCGTCAACATGAACGTCATTCGATCCCAACAACATAACCACAAGTCCTCACCAGGCATTGCACCGGACGAGGTGGGTCCTTCCTTCAGCTGCCCTCCAAGGCTCAACAACATCCAAAAAAGAAAAGGCGGAAACCCAAGCGGGAAAGCTGAATTTCCTTGATCCCAAGATATCCTAAGGGCCAGACACGGACTCGAACTGCTTGATGCCAACCACACTGAGCAAGCCATGCATGTAGTCAAAAAACTCCTCAGAAACGCCACACTCTGTCAAGCGGATACATGGAGTGCAGAAAGCACCAGAACTGCCAGATCGCCAACCCTCAGTCAAAATGTATGCATCACCCCTGGACAAAAAATAACTTCTCCGAATACCCAAATCAAAGGCACGTCAATGCACAGCAAATTATCAATCGGATCCGCAATGAGTCCTCCTTGTCCAGGCGGTGATTGTGATCTTTGTCCGCTTGGCGGAAGATCTTCTGGGCCTTGGAATAGGCATGGCGCGTGGTTCAAGCAAAAAGCTGATCGCCTTTCACAACAAGAAGAGTATACTCATGCACTCCTATTGATGGAATGGACGCAAAGCACGGATTGCAGCAGCACTCTCGCACTTCTACTTTCTACACCCTGCCTCTTCGCCCGACATCACCTGCACAGCAAGTCCCACTGGTGTTGGCTTGTCACGTACACTGTGTCAAGTCATGTACACTGTGTCAAGTCATGTACACTGTGTCAAGCAATGCAAAGGCATTGTACGCAACAAAAGCATACTATGGATTCACGTTCTCATGTCAATGTCACAGTTGTTCTGTGTTGAGCCAAATGAAGACACGATTCAAGATGGTTCCTTTTCAGGTCCCACATTGAAGGCTTGTTCAGAAGTGCTCGTTGGCATTGTTACAGGTTACCTCAAATTAAATGATGTCTCCAATAGGCCTGTGACCGTGCAAGCTTTTAGACAATCATGCTTGGCAATTCATCTGTCAAGGCATGCTAGAATCTGGTTTGCGAGTGTAACACTGCGTGTTCTGAACTCTTTGACGCCTGCAACACATGTCGGTACAAGCCAAGGCGTGGTTAAGCAGCAAAGTCTACACTGCGGCTCAACCCACAGGGCCAGTTGGTTCAAGAACAAGAGACACAGGAAAGCCTCGGCTCAGCCTCGGCTCAGCCTCGGCTCAGCCTCGGCACAGCCTCGGCTCTACCGTGCCTCTGCCCGGCCCAAGGAGTCCGAGGCAATCTCCAACACCTGGCAGAGGCGCTCGCAATGCTAAAGACTGACTTCGATTCGGGCCTCGAGCCATTTCCACAGAAAGAAGTTTAGGCTTTTCTGCGTGCAAGCCAATCAATTTAACTGATGACTTCCAAAGATGACTCTTCAGTCTGGATTCCCCCACAGCATCACGTTGATTTCGCCATCCAACCAATTTGGCATGGCCAAAGCAAGGTGCTGAACCGGTGGAAACGTGAAACATGTCAGCTGCGCCCTGTTGTGGTGATCCATGAACTCCTTGAATTGAATCGTTCCGCTGGAATCCACCTCGGGCATGTTACTGGATTCTCCGCAATTTGCCATGAGAAGTTCCGGCTGAACTTTTGCGGCCCGAAGAAACACGGCTGCACATTCACGTCTTCCCATAAGGTCACAGTAGACAATGACCTAGAGGTCATTTGATTGGCAAAGGTTTCAAGAGCAAGCATGGCGATGGAACCAGCTGCTAGCGTCTGCATCTTCACACTCCTCGTGCGGGGTGAACAAAAGATAAAGCGCAACACACAGAGACGCAAGTCACACACACACACAGAGGCGCTTCCCGCGCTCACACACGCATATTTCAGACACGCGTGTTGCAAAGCATCCTCACTTCCACAAGTCATGCAAAAAAGCTGCCGTGCAAAGTGTTATGCGGCGTGGCTACACCAGCTTGCGCAGGCAGCACATTGATTTACAAACTGGCATGCACAATTACCATTTAAGCCCAAGATACCAAAACATAGCAAATCAGACCTTCTTATGAGCACTTTCAGCAAGCAGCATACAAAAGGGCGAGGGCAAGAGCACCAATCAACCAACTCCTTCGTTGGCACCCTATCCTCCAGTGCCAGCCATATTAGTATGTCGGGCAAAGGTGAGCTGAGGTGGGCGCATCGGCCAAGGCGAACAGCTGGCTGACAAGGTCCTGCAGCCTCTCACAAGAATGCAAAAGTGGTCGTTCTGGCAGATACTATGCACGGCAGGAGCCAGTGTCAACGTTTGAAAACTGTGCTGCATGGCTGACAGTATGGAGATCAGTAGGATGATGCAACCAAAACGTTGTTTTCATGCAACACACAAAAGCCAGTGTTCTGTGTGTTGGTTGCTCAAAAGGAGACATAGCACGGTCAAACTGTCAATGTTGCATCAGAAGTGAACAAGGTGCTTCAGGCTGTCTCTTCTGATGGGAACCCAACAGCTTGTATCCTTTTTCAACTTGGGCGCCCGTGCTTTGCTTCCGTCTCCGGCTTGGCGCCGGTGCTGCCAGTCAAAGACCTGGTCCCAACTCTGAGAGAAGGAAACAAGCTGTCGCTGAATTCTAAACGGATACAAAGCGCATGCTTCGTGTTCAAAGGGCCCCAGCGTTTTACAGTTGCGCCCTCCATCAACTTATGTCTGGGACTTGCTCAACAGTTGCAAGTTTTCAGTATAACAGTACAAGAAGCTCCCTTTGGCAGCCCTAGCTCTAGATTGTAGAACCACTTCGACTTAAATTATTTGATCCCCAAGGATTCCAACTGGATTTCTGCCATAGGTCTCATCTGACCAAGTCTGCCTCCCTCGCCCCGCCTCTCCAGCGAGGGAGGGCCTGAAGGGCTGCGGCTTCACACCATTCGTGCTCTTGAACAATGAACGTGACACTCGGCCTCTCTCTTGTCGGTCACACGCGAAATCAATCCAGGGAGCTTTCAAACATCCCTCAAACTGGAAAATGCCGTAATGCGGCCTCTACTCTCCATGCTACTGGCATTGATTTTGAAGCAAAGCACATGATGGCTACCATGCCGACACGCAGCGCCACAAACAGCGGCACCTGCTGCAAGAGTGGGAGGCATGGTAGCCTCAATTGCTGCAAAGGATTGAGAGCCAAATACCGGAAGTCGATGGCCAGTTCAGTCGGGCTTCAGACATGCAAGAATCAGACTCCCCGTAAGCATTCTCACATCAAACTCCTGCATCACTGCATCCGCCTCGACTAATCACTGACCAACCGCTGAGCACAAGTGGCAAAGAACTAGGATGCAGACTGGTGGAGGCCCGCTCTACATGTATGTAGCTTGCCCCAGGTTTCGGTTCCAGTAAGTTTAAAGTCAGAACACGAGAAAGTCAGTGCGTCTGGGCTGCGTATATGATATGTTTCTCATTGTTGGATTCACATATCCCGGCTTGAAGAGCAATGTGAAGACCATGCGCAACAGCTGTCAAACTTGTGTGGTGTGCTCTGCGACACTGACATTGGCATACATTTCCACAAACAAATCAGAGCTGAGCCGGACAAAGCAGGTGGCGGTATGCTGTTCCCCGAAAATCTCATGAGACTCAAGCTGAGGCGGCGCAACAAAAGTGCCCAATCTGAACATGTCGGATCCGCAGACTCTAAAATCAGGATTGGCGAGCACAAACACACAATGGCTCATGAGCTGTCACCAGCAGCCTCAGCGGCCACATTCCCATCTCCTGGCAAAAAAGTTTGGGCCTCGGCCCCTAGATGGCAATGAAGATCCAGTCGCCCAATCATCTCTGGAAGCCGAGGACACAAAACTGCAACCAGCGAGAAACGCCGCGAGCCCAGTTGAACCAACAAGATACATCGATACTTCGATATGCATTCACGGACTGAAATGACCGCCAGGGGCCAAGACTTTGGTCAGCGAAAAATCTCCGGCTTGAAGCCATTGCAAGACGCTAACCCACAGCCCCTGCAGGAATTGGAATTGGGGGGGTCCAACATGAGAAGTCGCCAAATCGTATTGTGCGACCAAGCCACTGCCGATGCCATGCAAACGAGGTTGGGATGCTGCTCCAGGCATCCTGGCAGAGACCGCTGCAAGGCTCCGTCCTACAAGCCACATTGACATGTTTCGAGCTTGAAGCAGTCTCCACCTTTCCAACATATTCAGCCAGTACAACAACCTTGCTTGCAATAGACAGCAACGACAGTGCCCCGGGTCGCAGCTGACGCGCATATGTTCAGTTTCAAATCAATCATGAACCCAACACAAACACGGCGAGACCAAAGCGATATGCTCAGGAGCCATTCAAACAATCCTCAGCAGTATGCTCCCATCAGCACCTCGTTCACTTGTCGCAGAGAAACAAAAGCAAAAGCAAGTAGCAAAGGAGAGAACAAACGATTCAGGACAGCGTTAAGGAGCGTGAAAACTAAAGAGCTGGCAAAGAAGAAGCCTACAGGTATATAAACGCCAGGACAGTCGAGCTAAAGTAATCAATTCAAATAAGACCATAACAAAGGAAATAGGTGACGCAGCGCCCCTTGACTGGAGAACAGGCACTGCACCAGGCAAAGGAAACAAACACACAATTAAGCTCTCCCACCATCCCTGTCGCTGGGCCCCCACACTTCTTCCTCAGCCCTGGCTTCAAAGCGCTCAAAGGCCGCGCACGCAGCTGCGGCATGCTGCATTCACCTCCTCGTGGCATTGTTCACATGCTCTTGCTCAAGTTGAGTTGAAGCGTCCAAAGCAGTCGAGCAGTGGCGGTTTCCAAGGAAGCTGCTGAATTGGCACTCATATTAGCCCATGCCAGCAGTTTCACCCTTGCAGTTTTGCTCCTGCTTTCTCCGGCGACAGGACCTGGCTCAAAGGATGCTACGAAGGGACAGTTCTCAGCCAGTGTGTCGCTATGCGCTTCAAGTTGATCCCAGGAAGGACTCAAGCAGTGAAAAGCTGTGGCTGAACCAACACGCGAGTGACGGCGCCACCCTAACTTCCAGGCGAGAATATGTTCAACCATTCTTCTAACTGAGACAAAACAGATTGTGAAAAAGGAACAAAACAGGATCGCCAGGCTGCACAAAGAGAACGCACAGGAAAATAACTAGTGATAAAGCGCCTATTGATTGATCTTCTGATGGAGACCATGAGCCTAGCATCCGCTTAACTTACTTGCTGGCGCAAGTTGAAACTTCAGCCACCTGAAGCCAGCTTCGGTGACGAACATTTCAGCCCATCAGCATGCTCCACCTTAACCCTCCGCCTCAGCCCTGCGGAACTCTACCGAGCCCTTGTAGACAGCCCATATGTGCGGCTCGGCCTGGAAACGCGGGCAAGCTGAAGCATTTGAATTTGTGTTCCTTCGATCTTTGTCCCACAGTGTGCATGGGCGCGTGTGTGTGTGTGTAGGCGCCGTAGCAACATGTCTGTCTACGACACCACTTTTTTCCGCTGAGGACCTGACGATTTTGCCCTGCACCAAAAATGTATGACCTTCAGCGAGACATGGGGCCAAAGCCCTGCTCCACCCTTCTCAGCTTGCCAGCAAATAACAAACACGTCAAGGCAGGGCCAAAATCCAAATGGTTGGACTGTTGATGCTGGGTCGTAAAGTAATTGTTTGCCGACCTTCCTGCCACTGCTGGACAACTGACAGCCCTGCTTTAGGTGGTTTCTCCAGTCGATATGCGGAGAAACGCCCCGGCCTCGCGTGAACTTGGCATGCTTGAACATGTAGGACGCGTGAAGCTTTCCCCCAGGCTTCGGCACAGGCACCTGTCCGCGCTTCGAATTGACTGCTGATGCACTCTGTCTCTCTGCCTGCCATGTTCTGCCGCGCCTCCTTCATTCCGGGCAGATGCTTCATGAGAAACCTCGTCGGTTCCAGCCACTCATGCTGAGGCAACAAAGGGTCTAGCTTGCTCACCTGGTGCAATCTGGTCTGAACGGGGGGCCAAACTAAGACCGTGCATGAGAAAAGGCAAACAAATCATTGTACTTCCAGTTTTCGCAAGACGAGAACAAGGAAAGCTATGCATCAGTCATACTGCGGATTTATGTCTACAGGGAAACCAAGTGACTTGCGAACATCAGCTGACAATTCGGCTCGCCTGAGCTTCTCATCTCCTTTTTTGACCATCTCCTGGAGGTGGCGTGGATCGCTGTTAGTTTGCGAATCGAGTCGAGGTCATTGCACTTTGAACCCCTGCTTCAAAGATGTTCAAGCCAAACAATGGGTGTGAAACAAATAGTTTCTGTTTGAATATCATGCCGTTATCACCATATGGTGCCTTCTGTGTATTGCTGGGTTGCTAGTCACTGGCAACAGGCGACAAGCAGCTCAGCACGGAAAAGCTCAGTGGGGTCTCAGAATGCTCAACTCTCTGCCCAATCCTCTTTGAGGACATTGTCAAAATCGTTCCTGGCAAGCGGCAGTTCAGGGCAAGAATGTCACCTGCTTGGAAACTTCTGCGAGGCTGCAAGAAGTCTATGCCGCAATGCTACGTATCGTCACCAGATGCATTCCACGCCTGCGAATCACAAAGAATTCCGAGTCCTTGAGACGGGCAAAGAGCCAGTGCTGCTTAGGCGTGAGCATTTGCATGTGGAAACAAGTTCGATGAACGGGCTTTACAACTGTGAGGCGGTTGATTGCATCGCTGCGTCCAGGGTATGAATACTAGCAAAAACGTCATCCGACTTTGGTCATGAGCTTTTGGTAATGACGTTTGTGCTACATGTGTTTGGGCCGCATGGATCTCGTGAAAAATCATGCGTCACGGTCTTGAACGTTTTGAGAAGGCCCGTGTGTCTTTCAGCGCCTCTCCTCGACGCACTTAGCCGAAGCCAGTCGCGGCCTCAGCGAATGTCTGCTCGAGGCGCGCAAGGATGCAGCTTTGCATAGCTTCGCAGCTCGAATTTCGCAGGTCAGGTGGCTGTGATCTTCATATGTTGGCTCCAGACTGATCGTTGATGAGAGCGAGCTCACCCAGGACACTGCCGGGCCTCGGGCAATGCTTACCAAGGTGACCGTTTTGTTGCATGGTCAAACAGAAAGGAACAAAACTCAAGTTGAAATGAGTCTGGTGTCCTGGGATTGGAGGGCCTCCGCTCTGACAGCATCCCAAGCTATGGTCAGTTGCATGACACAAGGGACCGGCCGCCATGTCCTAGTGCTTCTTCAACCCAAGGCGGTGGCCCCAGCTGGGAGAGCCGGTTGCCAAAGTTGGTGTCCTCGTGGTAACGACTGAACCTGGGCATGCAGGTCCCGCGATGAGGAACACCCTGAGATCTGGACGCACCATTCTTACAGCAGTAGTTGATCCAACCGCTCGAGCCTGGTTCTTTGGCAAGCTGCAACTACGGACTCCGGACGTCCAATTTCGATTAGACCTCAAAGCTACACTCCAAACCATAGCTGCTAGCCCCCCCCCAGCGATCTGCCGCTTTCTTACTTATTCAGAGGTCAAGGTGTGCAACTTCCAAACCGCTTCCTGGCAATGAAAGTGGTGTGTTAATTGTTGCTCGGGGTCAATTTGTGTCAATAAAGTATTTGTTTTTGAACCAGGTTGAATTAGCCTCGAGAATTAGCACAAGGATGAGCTAGCCCCCTCCAGGCCAATTCGTTCTCTTATTTGCATAGAAACCGTGAGTTGCAACGTTCCCATGCAGCCCAAGGCCCGCTGGAACCTACCCCTTTTCTGGTGGGGCCATGGTTTGTGCTGGTGCTCTTCTCCCTTGAGTACAATTGAGGCAGTATCGAGGCAAGAGCGGCTTGCTGAACAGTTCTGCTTGTGGAGATAAAGCGCTTTGGATGTGTTGAGGGGTCTCTATTGAGCATTGAGGTACTCGTGACATACTGAGCCAGATTATTGAAGCCGCCGTCGCTCTGAGCACCTGGCCCGTCAACTGTCCTTTGGCCAGGCAAGAAGTCCTGCCTGAGGCAGCCAAGCATTCAATGGATGATCATGCCACTCCATGACATGAGACTTGAACTTTTGTTCTGCAACGTGACGAGCATGACGAAATGCTTTGTTGCCACAACCAATATTCGGACGTATTCTGCAGGCTGCTTAGCTTCTGTAGGCTCCGGGCAAGAATCCAGACTCTTTCACCGTGGTGAAGCGGTGCTTTTCCTGGAGGCAAGGTCTTTTTCATGGTCGGTCAACTTCAAGTTTGCCTTGATGTTGCTTCACAGTCCGACAAAAAGCAGCGATCCTGTCAACCGCATGCTACTGCTCTTTGAAGTGACACAAGGGCTGTAGACGACAAGGGCTGTAGACGCACCTACTGAGATCAATCAAGTCCAACGAAGCCACCGAATATGTGTATATAATTGTATATATACATTTATGTGTATATATATATATATATGTATATATATATATATATGTATAAGGCCCTTGCCGGCCCTTGCGTTCCAACTAACACAGAATTGCGCAAAGGCCTGCGGCTGATTTGACGGCAAACCCTCCTCATCCGACCTGGGTCGAACAAGAGGAGAGCCTTCGAATTGGGCTTGACAACTTGCGTGATTCCTGACAGGAAGCTTTTGAAGCCGGAAGCTACACGTGCCAGCGATGAACAAAACTGAGCCCCCTGCAGTACATGAACGCCAACTGCACCGCCGATGACAACCTCACGCGCTGTCCAAAAGCGTTTGTCACAGAAGTGCCATGCAAGCCAGCTTGTCATATACTCAAATACCCTTCTCTAGTGGCAAGTGGTGCTCATGTTATTCCCGGGAGAAGGCAAATGTCACGTCGCGGAACTGAGTCGCAGGCATAGCAGCTTCCGGGGGGATCTCCCTGTTTGAAAAGCACTGTTCCAGCCTGCATGCTTTGCTATGATCGGCTGCTTTCAAGGGTTGATCACATGTAGCGTGAGCCACTATAGCTTCAGAGCAAAACGTTCTGGAACGCCCTCATACAAGTAACTTGCCACTCAAAAGGTTTTGGTGCCAACCAGGCCTTGCATAGAATGGATGTCACAATCTCCGGCAGCATCTTCAGCACCGTGCTGTCCATGTCCTGCGGGAAGCTTCAGCTGTCAGGATCCTTTGAAAGGCATCACAAACGAGATGTAGCTTGCAACAGTGAAGAAGCATGCTGATTCATCGGATCTTTGCAACAAGTACAAAACCAGCTGTCCTACTCCTAATCACTTCTCTCTCTCTCTCTCTGTGCCACTGAGGACCGGCCAAACAATGCCATGACCAGGCCTTGAACAGCTTCAGCTGCGAAAGCGTTGTTTCGATATGCTCCTGGGCACCACTTGAAATGCAGATACTGAAAAAAATGGACAGGCTTTTGTGTCATCCTTAGCCGCGACCGGGATCCGTGCCCCTGCTGCTCGCAAAATGCTCAACTTCGTGACAAAGAGGTCACAACGAATACACCAAGGCACCCGCTGGTTGCTGGTCTGCAGCTGTGGGACTGAAGGACACCCGTCTGAAAGCTCCTGGTCCTGAGTTCCGCGAGAGGTGAGACACCCGTTTCTTTGTAAGTGGAGGAATGCTGGAAGAAGGGATGGTCCCTCACTGATGGAAGCTGTAGACATGAAGTATCGCAGGAATGGACTATTCTACCCTTCAAGCTCCGTAATGACCGAATTGTGTGCTGTCCGCCGCTCAAGTCAAGGATTCGTTGGTGTGGTTGGGAAATTTCCTCTGGCAACATGCTTTTTGTGACAAGCGCATCTTTGTGCCAGTTGATCACAACGGACATGCAAAGTCACGCAGGAGCTGCACGTGTGTGTGTGTGTGTCCACAATTTGCTGCACAAGTCGAAAAAGCGGAGGAACGAGCAAGGATTCGACAGAGAGAGGTTGCACTCCCACAAGCAGAGCAGGGAATCAGCCAGATGTCTGATGATGCACTAAAGCATTTGATGCTTCTCAGATGGGTTGTGGCATGACTTCTCAGATGGGTTGTCTCAGATGCATTCTGCTTTAATAATTACCTAGGTTGTGGCATTGCCGCCACATGCTGGGCAACTTGCTGTGTGTCTGGAATGCAAGCATGTAGCATCTGGGTCAATTACACCCTCCCACTACTGCCTTAAGCACAAATCAAGAAGCTCAGAAATGATCTACTTGAGAGCTGCATGCGGCAGAATAGTTGCAACAGCCCTGACTGCTTCGAAGCATGACTTATCTGGGGCTGACAATAAGATCTCCTGGTTCCGATACACGCCCTTTTCGCTGCAGCCAAACAACAGACCTTCTCGAAGCCCTGAGACTCTGGCCGGAAGGGCTGACACCTGAGTGGCATTGTACGTCTAGCTGCAAACAAAAGCCCTGTCAGCTTGCCTGGCTATTTACGAGTCAGTTGCAAATCTCTGAGTTATGATCACCGGCCAACGAACCATCAAGACAAGCTGTTCAAGATACCTTTGGAATCAGCATTCCGCTTCCACAGAACAGCTTCACAGACTTGGGTGGGAAATGTTGTGGTTCTGGACAGTGCACAAGGAAGTAAGAACCAACTCCCTACTATCAATAATGCTTCTTGCTGGCTTCCCAGCTGAAGCAATGGCCAACACTCAACACTGTACAGGATGACAAATTGCTAAGTACAACTAGTTCAGCTACAAGAGAGCCCGAGTGCGCGGGCACTTCAACTCCTGCATGCATACAATCCAAAGCACAGTTCAAGCTTCGCGATGAGTCGATATGATTCGAGCCTGCTCCAACAATGGTGTCAGCTGTTGCAGATTCCCCGGCTCCTCCCTATTCGAATCTCCAATGTTCACCCAAGTATCTCATTCCGATTTCAACCAGCTTTGAGGTCACAGCATTTAAGGACAAATATGTGCCTTGAACTAATTTGACAAGTGTCTCAAAGTTTTGGCCGACTCCAGGCTTGGATGCATCCAGTGTCTGGCTTGCTTCAGTCCATGTCGGACAGGCACAGATCAATGCAGTCGTCTTGCTGCTCGTTGCTTGCTTGTGAGCAACCCCACCCCGCCTCCCGGGCCTTCTGGTATATCAGGCCTCCCAAGCGTGGAGGGGGGGCAAGCGGCAGCGCTTGCAGTCGGCGTCTCATGAGGAAACTGTGCGCTGCTGGCAGCAATAATTGGGAAAGAGCTCGAACCAGATTCATTGAAGCTGCCTGATGGATTGAGTCATTGATTGGGGGTTCTTTGCTCATCTCGTAGATCTGTTCAAAAGCGTGACATTTAATTAAGTGTGGCTTCACTCACATGGACATGAAGTTGCACTGAGGGCCCCACTGGAGGGACCCGCGAGTTTTGACCTTTAACAGTGAGCATGCAGAGTCAGATTCAAAGCTCAGCTCTCAGGATGTAGGGTGCTCCCTTGAAAAGTGTTGGTGTTCTTCCCGAATGTAGGTTCAGGGAGCTTTCAATTAAATTCCACACATGTAGACTGTCACATACACGCCGAGAACCTGCTCAGACACGCTCAAAGACAACTTGCAGCCCTCCACAGCTTGGGCCCTTGCAGGCCTACTGGGAGTTGCCTTGCGCAGAGTCGATACTCCACGGAAGATGTTTCTTTGGCTTGATCTATGCTTGTGACGGGTTGCCTGCACGGGCAACTTGCTGATCGGGGCTAGACACCCGATTTAGCAAAATTGGTTTGAAAAGCTCAGGAAGGGCACCTTCAAGCCTCCAATGACAAGCCCTGCGGTCAATCATGGCGCTCTCGAGCTCGGGCAAAATGAGAAGCGTGAACTTCTGTTGATGTCCTCTTGGCCAAGTTGGCCAAAAAAGGAAGAAAAGAACATAAAGGCTGAAGGGCTGTGGAATTTATCCCACAGACCTTCGCTTGACCAGTGCTTTTGATGAAGGGTCAACATGCCAACATGAGCCCAGGCGTTCGCCCAGGAGCCTGGGTTTCCAAAGTGTCTGTGACCCAGCAGCTAGGAAACTGGGCTGCATTCAAAGTTCGAGCCATGGCAGGCGGAAATCAAGGGTCAAACTCATCTGACAATATGTCTTCAAAGTGCTTTGGACATGAGGAAATCGAACTGTTGTACCAAGGTGGCCTGAAGCGTGACGCTACGCGCCTCAATGGGAGGTAGCAGGGAAGCCCGGGATGATGTCAGCACGCTGCCTGTGGCACGCAGCTCTCACAGAACCACATTGGCCATGTGTTTGTCTCCGCCGATGCTTCCGCCTGGTTGCACGAGTCTGAGGAAGACAAACTAAACAAACGAGAATACAATAGCTTTTAAGGGAGATGCGTTTCTCGCATCCAGCCCCATTGTTGCTTGCCATTGCACATCGACACCGCAATGGCTTCTGCCTCCTCACACAGCAAACTCAGTAAACAACAACAATCTTCTCAAGGGTTTGCACGCACAATTGTCACTCGTCCTTGGCTGTCAGCAGCTGATCAGCATTTGTCCATTGATATTCGAATGATCAGGCCATGGAACTTTCAAATGGTCAAAGCAAACCTTTGGAACTTCGCAGCACTGAGGCCATCACCTCTGCTGACGGGCACCTATAACAGGCGAGTCGTAAAATCGGCCAGCTCTTTGGCCTGTCACTTGGTTCATCTTTTCAGTATGACACGTCAAGCAACTGCTTCCTGTTGCCTCCCTGCAAAGGTACGTCACAGTCTCTAAGTGTACCAGTGCGCCCCATGTGACTATGAGAATTAGAGGCCCCTCCCAATGGTTGGCTACCTTTGTGAGACCTTGCTTGAGACGTGTACATCTTTGGTCAAATTCAGCAATTCCCATCCTGATTTCTTCTCTTGTTCTCTACATAGTGGGAGTTTGGCTGGGATGCCTGCTCTGCACACTATGCTCCAATGCAAGGATTGTGAGCTGCCAATGCGGATCTTTGCTCCTGAACAAACTCTCTCTCATGCACGCATCGGGGACATGCTGCGCTTCTTGGAGACATGCTCACGAGTCCGTATGACTCATACCGTATGACATTTTGCATGGGGCTCTGTGTTCAAGCTCCAAGCAACCGGGCCAATGAAAGGATGCTTGGGAAGGCAGCAGGTGGCCGCTAATTTCCACCTTAACTCTCACTCCCGGCTCAAGATTCCCGTGCCTGGCTTCCCCGCTTGTTTACCGCAGGCAAGGACCGCGACATTCTCCGACTTCCTGCAACCATCTCTTGAAAGAGCTAGATGCACAATCAATTTATCATGGATCTCACCACCAGACGTGCCGTCAAAAGAGTTCTCCGCGGAAGCTAGATCTCTCTATGCAGTCTATGCAGCCGCGGCACTGGGCGCTGCTGCTTGGGCTCAAGGCTGGCAGGCCATCTTACGTACATCGCTCGGGTAGCAACGGTAGCAAGTGTGTCTTGATGCATCGCTGTGAACTGCTTGCAGCTGAGCGGAAACTGATCTCATCTGACCATTCGCTGGCAGTTCCTCGCTGTGTTGTTCCATTCAGCAATTCCTTGAACAACTCCAAGAGTAAAATGATGAACGATGATGAACGACGAGACTGCATGTTCAGTTTGCCTAAGCAAGGCATCAAATTGGTCCAAGGCGAGCGGGACAAACATTAGAATGCAATTCCGACGTCTTATCTTGTTGATCATGAGAGCACAAGCGCAAGCCGAAAGGGGAAACCCCCGGTCGCCACATGTGTGCGCATCGTCAAAACTGATTGACTCAAGGATTGATTCACTCAGCACATTTGGAGTTGTCAACAACAATTATCTTTACAATCATCCACCCCAGCTGAAACTTGAGGCCACGCAAAAACGGCGTGGTAAAAAGCATCAAACGGGATTTGAAATCTGGTCTGATCTTTAGATGGATGTGCTGATCATTGCACAAAAAGCCCACAGCTTGCCAGCTATAACTTATTTCCGCGTCCGAAGCTGCTTGCCGTCAATGCATCGTAAACACTGTGCTGATTTTTTTGCATTTTGGACCTGCTTAGTTGCCAGTGGCACAACATCAAATAGGCCGCTGATATGGATCTCGTTGATGCTGGCGCCACTTTCATGAGGAGTTAAAAAAGCACCATTATGCGACCCGGTCCAGAGTCACGGGATTCACAATCGACCGCAGAACGTTCTCCTACATTTGCACATATACTATCCATTTAGCCCACTGCAAGACCAGTTTGTCCAAAACACCATTCATGTCCGAGGGTCACAATCTTAAGGGTACAACTCTCGAACCTTTGACAAAGGCAATCTGCCAGTGCAAGCAATTTTGACTCGTTGGCTGAGCTCTGGATGAGGTACGAGGTTGCATGGCAGCGCTTGTTGCACCTCGGTGAGGCCGCCCCAAGATCTCAAGCGAATGTCTTGCAACTTTGTCTCGCTGCAAGACATCTTTCTTCAGGTAGACCGGCTGCTGTATCCGTGCTGGCCGCATCAAGTCTCAAGGCACAATTTTGAAGCTGCAAGTCATGAGCGCATCAGGAGAAGGCAGTTGTCAAACATGTCATTAGACATTTCAATCAAACATTGCAAGGCAACTGCAACTACTTCCCGCTGCCTTTCCAATATGATATGATGGGGGCAAGATGGGAGGCTAAAAGGCAAAGAGCCAGCTATGCGGTGAGTCAGAAGGCAACTTCACAGAATGAATCTCAATGGTCCTTGGGTCACGGGCCGAGCTTGCAGTTCTGCAAGCTGCCGACATCCTTGACTGTCTGTTGCGGACACTTGCTATCAGGTGAGTCATAATCCAAACCTGGTGTCAAACCGGTCTACCCACAACCACAGAAAAGAATTTAAGGGCGGCCACATTTGTTGTTGGGACTATCCCCTACTCATCCTCATCAATCCGGGTTTTGATTGTGACTCATGTGAGTTAGACTGGGAAATCAGAGCTCATTCTACTTCTCATTCCCGCTGCAGCAACATCTCACAGCCAAATTGCAATTTTCTGATCCGATGCCCGCAATATGCCCAGTCTGTTCACTCAAAAACAACCTATTCGTTCAGCCGCCGGTCGAGATATTGGTTATAACAGAGTTCAGAATTCCAGGGCGTGTTCACTTGATCTTTCACTGGAGCATTGGCCATTCTGCAGCAATGAAATTTATTAGGAACCATCATGCAGTGGACGGGCGCAGCGTACAAAACTGAACTTCCATATCTCAGCATTCAAAATGACCATTGCTCAGGCCCTAAGGCTCATTTTGGGATACCTCCCGCATAAAAGCTGGGTGGCAGGCCTCGCTGCCCTGGTATTGCCTGCTTGGAGGAACACAAAGCATGGCGCCAATGCGTGTCTTGATCATTCGAGTGCCACAACAAATACAATGGTTTGTGCCTTTCTCCCAGCGAACAGTAGTCCTATTAGATCCTGTTGCCATCTATCACAGTGCACGAATTGGTGGTTTAGTCGAACGTGTGATGCTTACGACCCAGCTTGCCAATAAGGTGCAAGTCGAATCCAACAGCGACAAGTCGGTAAGGGCAACACATCTCGCTTGGCCTGCACTGCCAACGATGTGACATGATCACGACTCATTGATGGACCCAAACTACATGAGCATCACAATCGACACAAACCCTGCCTTTGGCTCTTCAAATGTTCCCTGCCCGCCACCTGCATGACTTCCAAAAACCGTTAACCAGCCAACCAGCGAAGCCTTCTGGGACAAAACATCATCGCGCAGCACTTGTCACAGGCCAGGGTGACAAAAAGTGCCCTTGTGTAGATTGATCCAAAACAAAACCAAGCAAACCCAAACGAAACGTGTGTCCAGGGACTTGAGATACCCATCAAAGGTTTAGAAAGGGTGGCTGCGAATGCATCGACGGGTCTCGGCGGCAAACAAGCCGGCATTGCCATCGGTGAATTCAAGCGCTGTCCGTTGGCGACACAGAAGGGAGGCAGAACAGAAATCCTGACATTGTGTCACTTTGGGACACTGTCAAACAAAGATGACATATCGCGCTCCCTCACACTCCTGAGCCCCTCAAAAGAAGAGACAAATACCTTGCTCTTGATGAATGACATGCTATCTGCTGCCGGACTGCGATCGGAAAGCTCTGGGCGGATGTTCCTCAAATGAAGATCACGATGTATAATATGCTGGATGCTTGCAATTAGGTGGGGGGGCCCAACGCGTGCAGTAGTTGCCCATATCTGCAGGCGGAATCTCGGCGGAAATCATTTCGGCTCATTCATGGACGGCTTCACGCGGCTGTGCGTGGCTTTGGCATGAACCGATTGAGAAGGGAGCAATGCAGAATGCTCCGGCAGTCCTACAATCGACCTCTGCTGATGCCTCAAGACAGTGAGGCGAGGTAGATCTGGTCACTGCAAAATGGCATGGGCTGCATGGTGGTGCGAAGGTGTCAACAGCCAGTTCGAAAACGTGTTTTGACGAGTTGTGTATGCCTTTTTTGAAAACGATGTTTGAAAGTGAATCAACATGCAAACAAGTATTTGGAGGGGCACCTTCTTTTGACACATGCCGACACATACCCAGTTGGCATGTCACGTGCCCTATGACACCGCATGTTTGCAAGCTTGCTCATTGAACTGCCCGGATTGGGTGCCAAGCAGGAAGCTGAACCTGAGCAGTGAAATGTCAGACAACCAAACTGAAACCACATTCAAGAGCCCTGACGAAAGACTGGCAGTGACGGACAAGCATCTTCAGGGCCTATCACGGGAGCACAAAGGCTTCCCAAAGCCAACCGACATCAACAGATTATTCATCGTCGAAACATATCACCATGATGTTCCTCAAGCTTGTTCGATCAAATAAAGATCGAGCTGGTGTAGGAGGGGATGGTGCGTGGCCTCTGCAGCCAACAACAAGAATCAGGCAAGCCACGTTCCAGATTCTCACTGCAACCGCATCCCTCCATCTCTCGCTCTCTCTCGCTGGATTCGCGGTGTGTAGTTCTTTGAATTGTGAAATGAGTGATGTTGGAATCGGCAAACAAGCGTTGGTTTGGTGACTGGAATTCAGGCCCCCGGATGCTTTGCCAGAGCGGCATGATGCTTTCAACTTCCTGTCCCATTAGCCGTGCGCAACTGAGGCACCCGCTGAAAGCGCCCCAACCTGTCTAGATCCCAAGAAGAGAAGGAGAGGAGGAGAGAACAAGAGGAGAGAGGAAGAAAGGAAGAGGGAAAGAGAGGAAGAGAGGAAGAGAGGAAGAGAGGAAGAAAGAAAGAAAGAAACGAAGAGAAAAAGAGAGGAAGAAAGAAAGACAAAAAAGAGGAAGAAGCGAAGAGAAAGAGAGGAAGAGAGGAACAGAGGAGGAGAAGAAGAGAGAAAGAGAGGAAGAGAGGAGGAAAGGAAGAGGAGAAAGAGAGGAGGAGCGGAAGAGAAAAGAGAATAGGAAAGGAATAGAGAATGAGAGGAGGAAAGGAAGAGACAAAGAGAGGAAGACAGGAAGAGGGAAAGAGAGGAAGAGAGGAGGAAAGGAAGAGGAGAAAGAGAGGAAGAAGAAAGAAAGGGAAAAAGAGAGGAAGAACGGAAGGCAACAAGAGAGGAAGAGAGGAAGAGAGGAGGAGAGGGAGGAAGAGAGGAGGAGAGGAAGAGAGAAAGAGAGGAAGAAAGGAAGAGAAAGAGAGAAAGAGAGGAAGAGAGGAAGAGAGGAAGAGAGGAAGAGAGGAAGAGCGGAAGAGAGTGAGAGAGAGAGAGAGCGATTCAGAAGCATGATTCGTCTTTTCACAAATGGGACACACAACGAACGTCAAACAGAAGGGAGTGAGTAGCAAAAGTTGGGCAGGAAAACTATATCATGCTGGGAGTCACAGCATTCGGCACTAGCTCCGTGAGGCCTGCGGAATCAAGCGGTGCACCAGCTGCGCATCATCCTTGACTGTGCAACATGTAATCAGTGCTCAAATGCGCTCAGCTAAGAGAGAATTCTATCAGGGGGGGATTATGCTAAAGTTAGGATGCTTGACACAGGCGCTTGTTGGCAAGGTGCAGGAATATGGGGCAAATGAAGCTGACTTTAACAGGCCTAAAGCCCGACATATCCTCACAGTAGCAGTGTGTGGAATGATCATTCGTAGGAATTCTCCTTGCAAAATGGCCATGTACATCAAGCAGGTTCACGTCCTCTGCACTTGGCCAGCCCTCAGCATCTAAGCAAGCGGCTTCCTCATTCTCAAGCGAATCGCACTGCTGGTAGCACCTGGCTGA